TGCTATAATTAATAAAATTTCAATTGGATTATGATCCGTTGTGGTCCCAATTTATAACACCCGGATCATGTGGGAAGCGCTGCTGTCCCAGCCCCTCATCTTGGTGAAGGTCTTGATGGAGCTGAGAAGGAACCTCCAGCACCTGCGGTCATGTATCAGACACAGATTCTGCAGAATGAAGTTCTGTATCCAGCTCTTGGCTGTGAGTAACCAGACCAGTCCTTGCTCATACTCAGGGCTGTGCCTGCCTCTCCAGAAACACAGGCACAGCCCTCTTCCCTGCCATCTGCCCCCAAACAGTCACCTCCTCTGGGAAACAGGGATACAGCCCGTTAGGGCCAGCCCAGCGCCAGGTTCCCCTGTGCCAGCCACACAGGGCCATGCCACGCTGCTTGGGTGCGGGTGCACAAAGTCCCTGTCAGTGCTCTGCTTACACCAGCAGAGCCGGCACAGACAAGCGTGTGGTGTGCGGCTGGTGTCCCCCAGCACGGGCTCTCTGTCCCCGGTGCCCTTGTCCTGAGCTGCCAGCGGGACCCAGGAGCTGCACAGTGCCGGGAGCCCTGCAGGCTCGGCCGGTCCCTCACTGCCATCTTTGTTTCAGCTCCTGGCCTGCAGCGATGTGACACCAGAGGAATTCGCTGGGGTGTACAACAGGGAGAAGTTCCCGTGGTGTCAAAATGTGGTGCTGTTCTCGCTGACGCTCACAGGCCTCATCACGTTGTCACAGTCACCTGACACGGTGAGCAGGGCATAGGCAAGGGAAGCCGTGTTGGCCTCCTGGGGCTGGGCAGTGGGTAACGCGGCGGCTTGACCAGGGCTGGGAATCGGGAGCTGGGGTCACAGCTCCAAATGCCCACACAATCCCATCACAGGCCACGATCCCCTCAGTGCACCATGGGGATGGCCTGCCAGGAGGCTGCTGCAGGGATTCCTGTGCCACTGCCCAGTCAGCCAGGCAGGAGTCTGGTGCTTAAGGGCCAGAGCATTTTGGCCTGGGTGGTCCTTTGCCACTTCACATACAAGGAATTCTGTGCTTTGTACAGGCAAAGAAAATACTGGTCCTGCTGCCAGAATTGAGGGAGGCCCTGCAGAGTGCAAATGCAGACACCAGGATGAAGGCCCTGCTCATTTTCAGAAATGTGATGGGTCATTTGAAGAAGAAGGCCAGCTCCACTGCTCTGCAGCTGGCGGAGGAGTTCATGCAACACTTTGATGATGTGAGGCTGCTATGGAAGCCTGATCCTCACTGATGGGCCCTTTGCAAGGACAAGTGCCTGTTAGCAGAGCCTGGCGGCAGCACTTGCATGGGGCTGTGCCCCTCCTCATGCCCCTGCGCTCTCACGGGGATGCCTTCTGGGCTCTGCAGCCCAGCTCAGCTTCTCCCTGACTTGCTGATGGCTCTGGGAGACCTGAAACCCCTCCCCTCAGCCACGCTGACGCCCTTGCTCAGGGAGCTGCTGCTACTGACGCCCTTCTGTCCTCCTCCTCCTCACCAGGTGTCCAGCCAGGTGCGAGAGCTCTCCATCTGCCTATTCAAAGAAGTAATACAGATGGCGGATTGGAAGCACCAGCGGCAGATGCGGAAGAAGGTGCGGCAGAGCCTGGTCCCACTCGTGTTGCACATGAGTGATGAGACTGAGAGTGTGGCCAAGGTACAGATTGCAAGCCTCAGCAGTGGTGTGGGGAAGGGCATGCTGAGCCCGCGGGGGTTGCCTGGGCAGCAGGGAGGGCAGGAGAAGGTGGCAGGGACATTTCCCACCCATGCCCTATGTGTCCAGCAGGGCTCAGCAGCAGTCCACGAATACCAGGGTCCCCAGAGGCTTCACAGCTGACCCCTGCAGGGGCCAGGGCTTTGGGCCCCAAGCCTTCTCCACAATCTCCCCAGTCCTTGTCGCTCTCTGCAGGTATCTTACGAAGTCCTCTGTGTAGCTGCGAAGGCGCTTAAATGGAAACGGCTTGGTCACCGCGTGCGGGTACTGGAGAGAGAGAGAACTGTGGAGTGCCTGGTGAGGACAAGTCCCAGGCTGGACACGGGTGCCCCTCTTGCCTCCCCACCCTCAGGACGTTGAAGAGGAGCCATCTGGCAGTGGCACAGAGGGCTCTCAGGACCTCCTGATCCCACTCTGCCTGGGAGATGCAAATGGACTGAGGAGCAAGGCAGGGGTGTGGGGTGCCAGGAGGAGGGATATGCCCGGGTGACTGGGGAGGGTCTGTATCATCCCTGCACCCCTTTTGCTCTCTCCAGCTGGAGCACGACCGGAGCAGGGCTGAAGAATATGTGCGTCAAAGCATGCCTTATCTGCAGCACGCTCAGATCACCGTGCGAATGGCAGCCGTGAGGTTCATCGGTGAGCCGCAGTCCCTGGAGTCCCCCTTATGGCAGCCTGGCCCCAGTCCCATCTGCTGCACTGGCAGCGAGGAGCGGCCCTGTGGCTGCCAGAGCCCCAGCTGCCCTGTACAGGGCCTGTGCAGCCAGGGGCTCTGTGCTTCCCCCTCCTACCCCTGCCCTGGCAGCAGGGCTCGGTGGCACCTTGCTCAGTGCCACCTCCCCTCAGGTCCTGTCTTTCCCTGGGGTCACCCTGCTGAGGGGACGAAGGGGTGCAGCCAAACTGGCAGAGCTGGGGCCATGCTGCCGGGAGCATGCTGGGCAGCAGCAGGTCTGACCGAGCTCTCTGCACAGGACTGGCCGGGAAGCACCTGGAGAACAGCAGCAAAGACACGCTGCAGGGTATTTACAGCGGTGAGTAGGGGCAGTGCCGTGTGTGATGGGGCTGGGGGCAGGGCACAGATCCTGGGCAGTGTGCTGCCATGCCCTATCCTGCTCCAGGGAACATCTTGGGGGCATTTGTTGCAATCCTGAGAAGCAGCTTCCAGGTGATCCATTTGTCCGCCTGCGCCTCCTGACCAGGGAAAGGGATGGTTGGGGCTGGCATGGGCTGGAAGGGATGCCTGCGGGTCTCTGCAGATCAGCAGGTTTCAGCTCTGCTCTCTTTCCTTCTGTTGCAGCCCTCTACAGTTCAAGCAGAGCCGACGAATTCCAGGTCTCAGTCCTGGCACTGCAGACCATGGACAGCCTGAGAACTTCATGGACACAGCCAAGACTGGGATGGACCCTGTGGGCGCTGGGCTGCTGTCTCTGAAAAGCCACGCAGCAGTGAAGCCCTGCTCAAGGAAATGCATCTTTTTGATCAAAACTCCAACCACCATTCCAAGGCCATGGCGTCCTTCACACGCAGCACAGAAAGGCTGGTCAGGAGCCGCCGGGCAGTGGTTGTGCCCAAGTTCCTGGCACCTGCCCAGCCACAGTCATTGGGAGCACCGCTGCCAGCGTGCACAAAAGCCAGGGCGACGCAGCAAGGCCCACGAGTGTTGACAAGGCTTTTGCACAGGGGATTTTGCTTAAAGTACAGATTGCAAATAAATTTAGAAGCAGGCACAGCAAGGCTTCCATGGAAAAACAGCACCACAGCTGTGGTTTGCAGGACTGTGAGTCTTGGCAGTCTTGACTGATCTCTTAAGTGCCATCCGATTACTGCACGTGTTTGGCACCTGCTATAGCAATAGCAAAGAATTACATGGTCAAATGGCACTCATCAGAAATTACGTGTCACAGACCACTGTAATGCATTTAAGAAAAAACATCTAAAATGGAAAACGGCATTACCTGCTGCAAGAGCAGACCCTCTTGAGAGCCGTAAGGGACAACAAAAGGGATCAAAGTAATGAGGGAAACTTAGTTCAGAGAAGAAAATAGGGGAAAAGGGATGATGCAGGGGGAGGAAGGATGGGCTGCAAGACCACAACTGCTAGTACGCTGCAGACCTTCCACTGTCAGCTCTCCGCAGCACACGTCACTCAGTGCAAGACCTGTGTAGAGCATTGGAAAAAGGAACACAACCTTTCCCTTCCACAAGAACAGCCAGCATGCCCTCACACTTACAAATAAACAAGTGAATAAAAAAGGAACCTTCAAAAAAGCATCTTCCTTATAATGCCACCACCACAGTCACTACTGCAGAGAAGCTGTCTTGCCTGAGGCTCTTCAAAGAGCTCTGAAGAGCTTCAAAGAGCCCAGCACATTCTGCTTTCTGCGTACGGAATTCCTTCCACAGAGGGACAGACAAGGAAGAATGGCTTTGTGAGAGCTCTGCCAAAGTCTGGACTGAGTGATGGAGAGCAGTGCCACGGAGTTGCTATGCTGCCTGGGAAAGTGTACAGCAAAATCCTCAAACCACCTCCAGCCAGCAAGTGCAACACTCGGTCAGGCTTCCAGTGCAAAGAATTATGTTCAAACAACATGCGGTTAAATACAGTACAAAAAAAGAGGATTTACACAAAGGGGGGGAGACAGCAAAGCCACTCAGACCAGGGAACGCACATTTCTCTCCAATAATACCGAGCCGTTACGATAAAAGACCTGACACAGGCGCTTCCCTGTTTCAGGCGATTCCCTTTCTGAGCTCTCATCTAGGAAGTCTCATCTTCTCAGTCCCTGCTACGTGCAACTTTGGATTTCCATCAGGCAACACGGGTTAAGCCAACACGGATGGAAACCGTTTTGCCTACTGAAGGTCTGAATAAAAAAAAATCTTTGTTTAATCTACTGCTGTGCATGAACACGCATTAGGTTTGTGGGGCTGATGGTTAGCCAAACATGACAGAAATAAGACAACTACACAGTTCAGGACAGGGAAAGACAGAGAGAGGAATAGTATCAAATGTCTGTCCTTGTCATTATTTGGAAATGGCAAACACCTGTGGTAAAAGCTGCGGGGGGGGGGGGTGGTGGTGGTGGTGGTGTGTGTGTTAGTGACAATTTGGGGAAATCTGATCTAGGAGGAGTCTGTCTGAACTGGCAATGACGTCAACGATACAAAGGTTTATTGGTGACGAAATGAGGATTTGAAAGCAACTGAAAATGGGAAATCAGGAATAAGTTTGTGAGGTACAAAACCCCCTAATAGCCACATACACATGCTTCTGATTCCAAGAACCAGACATCAAGGGACATACTGTGTTACTATTTACAGTATTAAAATGCACAAATTTGTGCATATATATATACATGTATATGTAAAATGCTTGTGTCTCCATTTTCAATAGCAATAGCAGGATGGAAAGCTTCCCCTAATCAATTTTCATTTCAATTTTATGAAGCTACTCAATACCAAAATCAAGAGCCACTCAGCATCACAGCAACTAAGTCTGCAATCCAATACATAAATCTAACAAGCTCCAAGATGATTTTTTTCCTAGTGTATCTACAATAAGCAAAATTTCTCATGGGGAATCGAGTTTGTCAATACCTCTGTGATAAATACCTCAAATTAAACAAGCTGGTAACCGAATTGCCCAAAAGAGCTGGGCCCCTATGGTTAGAACAGCAATATGGGAGAGTGCCAAGATCTGGAGTGCCATAGCTCTTCCAGGGAATATGGATTGCTTTGCATCTTAGCCAGACTTTGACTTTGCCAGAGACTTTTTTTTTCCAAAAGCTGGGGAAAGCATACAGAGCTGTCTGCTTTGGCCAGTTCAGTCTTCAGGACGTATCCTCTTGCTCCACCATAGCTCTATATTTTCTTTTGAAAAAGCCACACTGGAAAAAAAAAAAAAGTAAATAAAAGATCTTATTAAGTCTTTGTATATGAATTTTTTTTTTTTCATAAAACAATGTAAAACAAAAATTGCAAGGGTTGCTGTAAGTGAAATGAGTGAATGTAGGACGCAACCCAGGTATGTCTTCTGGCAGAGCTGTAAGCCTGAAGCCTACATTGTTCAAAACTCTTCAGAACACCAATAATAAACCCTTTGTAAGGTGCAAATATTCTGCAAAGCACTTCAAAACAGGACTCAAGAGGTTTTACTGCAATGCTCAGAACAGCTCAAAACGCAAGAGAGATTTCACAACACTAAGAGGCAGATGTCCTTCAGCACACAGTTGAAAATACTGCTTTCACACTTAGGTCTTAAAAAAGTTAAAACATCTAACAAAAAGTTTTCTGGTTTGTTGTGTATACATTACTGATACCCACCTTCCAGAGGAGCAGAATAATTAACACCAGCAGGAAGAGTCCACCAAAGCAGCTTCTTACAATAATAGGCAAGGGATCAAACACTTCGTCTTTCAGGAAGATAAGAGTAATCTGGAACAGAATCAAGACCAACTTAGCATACACTGAAGCCCAGTTATTTTTTCTTGGTTAGCTTTTAACTGAGAAAGCTATATAGCTTGAGCTAGTGCTTCATCTTTAAGCTATGCTAGAGGGAGTGTCTCTCCATCTACATGTGTAGTTTGTGATACACTATGAAAGATGTTTTTTTCATTGCAAGCCTAGCCAAGGGAGTTAAATTTACTGAGTCTTCTTTATAAGCTTACAGTAATCACAGTAGCCACCAGTGTCAGTCTTTCAGATTAAAGAAGAATCTGTCTTCACTAGGGGAAGAGAAAGAATACTGATATTGGAATCCTTGAGAGGACAGGAGGCCTTTGTTTTAGCCACTAGTGTCAGATACAGAAAGTTCAACACAGAGCTCTAAAAACACTTCTGATACGCACTAGCAAATATTCTCCCTCAGCTTTTATCCTATAGTCAAAACCTGATTTCACTAAATTCCATGGCACAACAGATGTTTGCTTCAAAAGGCCCTGAATTTAACTTTGGGAACTGGATTGGTTCTCTAGATTCAGCAAAAACATCTTTGTTTCACACTTGTCCATGCTCCAAAGACCAAGCTGCCTACATGATGCTCCGATACCTCAGCATTATGATTCTCTTCTTCCAGGCCCAGATACCGTTCTTTGTTGAATGTGATTTTCCCAGGGACCAGCAAAGCACTTCCACTTTTTAAAAACTATGGAAAAAGAAATAAAGGCAACAAAATATCAGTTGCTTTTTTGGTCCTGTCAGAAAAATACGGGTTGCATTAGTAAACCCTCATTGACTCTGTAAGAACAACCCTGTGCAGTGCTGCCACCAAGCTGTTTCTTTTGTGTATGAGGTTGTGTGTAACTCGCCGATAAGGAGCTGCCGGGTGCCGTGGAAGCTGGCAGGCAGCACTACGAGAATCATTTCGCAAGGAGCAGTTCCTGAAGTGGAGCAAGGGGATCAGGCTCCTCTTCTGAGTGCCTCCTGGGAGACACTGCATGAGTAAAATATCCCTCTTGCTCTGCAGGGTCAGAAAACAGCGTCACAGGCGGAAATTCAACACCACTGTGGTACAAAGATACCCTCACCCTGGACCTCTGAGAGGTAACAGATTTTAGCAATAAAGGCATTACTAAGGATTTGATGAGACTCGTTATTCATTGATTCAGGGTTCAGTAATAAACCTCTACTTGCAGCATGCTCCCTGCTCACTGCCATTCCATTTTAGTCATAACTGAAGTTTTGAAATTTGCTATTGATCATGTGCCCTGCATCAATAGTAAGCTGAGATGCAACACGTTAATGGTTGGACTTGGTGACCTTAAACATATTTAAACATAAACGACACCAACCTAAACAATTCTGTGAATAAAGATCCGGGCTGACCTCAGAGCAGCCTCCCAGAGCTGACAGTAAACCTGAAGAGGGACATCTGACAAGGGCATGTAGGGATAGGACATGAGAGAATGGCATCGAACTGACAGAGGGAAGACTTAGATTAGATATTAGTAAGAAGTTCTTTCCTGTGAGGGTGCTGAGGCACTGGCACAGGGTGCCCAGAGAAGCTGTGGCTGCCCCATCCCTGGCAGTGTTCAAGGCCAGGTTGGACACAGGGGCTTGGAGCAAGCTGCTCTGGTGGAAGGGGTCCCTGCCTGTGGCAGGGGGTGGAACTGGAGAAACTTTAAGGTCCCTTCCAACCCAAACCATTCCATGATTCCATGATTCCATGAATAAAGGCAGCAAAGCAAACTTTTTGCATATATACCTGGTGCGCATTGCTTAAAGACAGTTCCGCTATCACGGTAATGTTGTCGCCGTCACTTTGGAGAGAGCAGTGCACGCTCTGATACTGCGCATCCCGAATACCCTGCGATACAACGGAGCGGCTCAGTCCCCGGCTGTCACAGGGGACCCGCCGCTGAACAGCCAGTGCCGGTGCCAGCAGGGCTCACCTGGGGGTCCGTGCCGCCGCTCTCCCCCCGCGCTGCCGGTGCCGGCTCCCCGCTGACCGCGCACGCCGTCCCCTCCTGCAACAACACTTTGAGAGCAGCGCGCAGGCGCCAAACCTGCGCAGGGGGCGGGGCCTGGCGGGGGCACCTCCCCTCCTGGGCGGGGCGGGGTCGCCCCGTCCTCTCGCCGCTTCCGCCCACATCTCGCGGTATCTCATTTGAACCGGAGGCGGGCGGGTGCCGCAGCTGGTGTCCGGCGGGGCCCGGCCCGCCCGCCGCCGCCATCATCATGCCGGTGCAGTTTCGCCTGCTCCGCACCTACTCGCGCCGCGGCGGCCGCGTCCGCCCGGTGCCGCTGCCCGACCGCTGGATTTCGCCGCCTCAGGACCGTAAGCGGTTCTTCAGCTCGACCTCTACCGGCTCCAGCGCCGCTTCAGCCAGCTCCAGCGCTCACTCCATCCATTCGGACGACCCCGACTTCTCGCCGCCCCACAAGCGCCTCTCACAGCCGCTGGGTAACCGCCCCGTCTGCCCCTGGAGCCTGCGGACCCGCCGCAACGGAGCCGCGAACAAGGAGAACTGGGCTCCGGGGCCGCCGGGCCTCGCCTGCTCTCCGCCATCACTGCCCCCGTCCCTACGCTGTGGGGCCAGGCGCCCTCTGCTGTGCAGCACCCCGCAATGGCCGCAGCCGCGCCTTCGGTCTCGCCGCCGCCGGACCCCGCCGGCCGAGCTGAGCAGCACCGCGGAGGGCGGCTCGGGGCTGTACGGCAGCCTCCAGCTCCGCTCCCCGCCGCGCAAGCAGCGCAGTGCCCCGTCCGACGCCCCCCAGAGCGCGCTGGAGCTGTCTCATGGGGACTCGGGGCAGCTCTCGCTGTTGCCGGGGGTTGACAGCGGGAGGCGGGAGGCAGCCGGACGGTCCTGTTCCAAAGGCACAGGCGGGAGCCCTGAGCCAGCTCCCAAGGAGCAAAGGTCCCCCAGGGTTCTGAGGATGGTGCAGGAACCCTGCCGGGAACAATCGCCCTTGTCCTCCCGGACAGCCACCGCAGCACTGCCTCCTGTTAACAGCCACCGGCAGCACTCTGCCCCGTATGATGACGGTGCCGCTTCTAATGAGCCATCTGATGCTCTAAGTAGAGCTGCAACAAAAGGAACCTCGAGATGTCAGAGAAGCGGAGCTGAGAAGTACCGGCTTATGCCAGTGGTGGTTCTGGATCCTCAAGAAGTGGCAGTGTGGCTGGCAAGCATGAAACAAAACAAAAAGGGAGATACTCAGCTTGCCTGGCAGCAGCCAGCCTCTCCTTTGGGCTTTCAAGGACCCTTAGAGAATAAACATAAAACCACCAAAGTTGTTTCTGGAGAGGCCAGTACCTGTAGGAAAGCTTGCATCAGTGGCTTTAGTGCCAGCCGCTGGGGGATGCCAAGAAGGCTCGGTCCAAAACGGCTCAAAAACAAGAGACAGCAGCAGCCTAAGAACCCCCTTTCCAGACCACAGATGAGGCAAAGAAGAATGAAAAGGGGTGTACTAGAGATGTCTGTAGATGTAAGCGGCGATGACTATTCACTCCTCAACAGCTCCTATTCCTGGGGTAGGGTTCAAGCATCTTTCTCCTTCCATAAGAAGAAGAAAGTTACCATGGATGACAGTTCCTGCAACAGCATCCTTTGCACCCCTTCCATGAAATCCCACCTCTCGGAGCACCAAGCAATGCTATCTCCTGGTAAGGCTCAGTGCTCTATTTGGTCTGTTTCCTCCATGGCCCTGCTGGCTCCTATGAACTCCTCTTCTGTTCTGGAACTAATGCTTACAGATGCAGAGAAGGTGTTTGGGGAATGCCAGCAGGAAGGGCCTATTACTTTTGAGGAATGCATTCCTCTAGATAAGATGAAAGACTGCAAGAAAATTGGAGAAGGGGTGTTCGGAGAGGTCTTCCAGGTTGGCAGCGAGAGAGGACCTGTGGCCTTAAAAATAATTCCCATTGAGGGGACTGAAAGAGTAAATGGAGAATCTCAAAAGAGTTTTGGAGAGATTCTGCCTGAGATAATAATATCAAAAGAACTCAGTCTTCTATCTGAAGAGTCTGTGAATAGAACTGTTGGGTTCATCAGCTTGTATTCTGTGCACTGTGTTCAAGGGGCTTATCCTAAGTATCTCCTGGAAGCCTGGGACAAATACCATGAAGTAATAGGATCAGAAAATGATCGGCCAGACCTTTATGGGGACAAGCAGCTATTCATGGTACTGGAGTTTGAATTTGGGGGCAGCGACTTGGAGAATATGAGAAACAAGTTAAATTCAGTGGCAACAGCGAAAAGCATTTTGCACCAGGTCACCGCTTCTCTGGCTGTGGCGGAACAGGAACTGTACTTTGAGCACAGGGACTTGCACTGGGGGAATGTGCTGGTAAAGAAAACTAATGTCAAGAAGCTGAGTTATGTGTTGAATGGGGCAACACACACAATCCCCACAGCAGGGATTCATGTCAACATCATTGATTACACCTTATCTCGGCTGGAGAAGGATGGGTTAACTGTGTTTTGTGACCTTTCCACTGATGAAGAACTGTTTCAAGGCACAGGGGACTACCAGTTTGATATCTACAGGCAAATGAAAGTGGAGAACTCCAACAGCTGGTCTGACTATCATCCACACAGCAATGTCCTCTGGCTGCACTACTTGTCAGATAAACTTTTGAAAGGTGTGAACTACAAGAAAAAGGAAAAAACTTCTGCTCTGAAGAAAATAAAGCAGCAGCTGGAGAAGTTCCACAGGGAAGTACTGAACTTTGAGTCTGCCAATGAAGTTTTACAAAACAGCAGCCTCTTCCACTGAGCAAGGGAGCACAGTGTTTCCAAGAACTAAGTTACTGATGCTGCCTTTCTCCTTTGCTGCTTCTGTGTATGATCTTTTTTAAATGTGGGCACAAGGAAGTGTTATCATTGGTTACCAATGTGTACAACATGCTGTAAAAAATGTTTAAAAACCCTCCCAAAATAGTTCTGCTCTCACACGTTTCCATATGTCCTTTTTTTGAGGGGTGATGTTTGAGATTGCAAGACAGATTTCTTGAGGCTCAATTCATGGCTTCAGTTCTACAGAAATTTTCTTACCTTTTCAGTCTTGGATTTTTAAAAGTTCTTGCCTTACTCTGTTGTCCTCCTTACAAATTCTTTCCTTTTTTTTTAAGAAAAAAGGAAAAAAAACAAAAACAAACCCACCACCAAAAAAACAAACCAAAACCAATTCTGGGCAGTGAGGACAAAGATAAATGGTGTTAGGCCAGTTGGGGACAGAGAAGGGAAACCCCACCTTCTGACTTAATTTTAACACTTAACTTTTGTTCAGTTTGGCAAAGTTTGTACATGGAACCGTGCTGCAAAACGTAAATATGTAAAGGTTCAGTAGTGTAGGTTTTAAAAACACTCTGAAAGTATTCCCCTTCTCCCACACACACTTTAAGGACTAATGAATAGGTATTTGATTATGAAAAATATAGGAGAAGGTACCTGTGTTCCTGATGCATTTTTGACTGTCATTATGTTGTGACCTTGTATATTTATGGGAACCCAAATCTGTAACTTGATGGTAGCATTAAAGCGATTTTCTCCATTTATCTACAGAAGAAAATGCACAAAGTAGTAAGTGTTCTTCAGTCCTGACTGGAAGTGAATCAGATGACCTAAATCTGAAGCTATACTTACATTAAATCTGAATTCTTTGTTTTCAAGTAGTCCTTCACCAACGTTCACATACATTGAAGAAATGGGTCTAAAGAGGATGATAAATCAAACTGAGTGGGAAGTGAGTTAGAGTGTTAAAAAATTAGTACATCTAATGACCCATATGCACTAAGTGTAATTAAGAGCTACCATCATCAGATTTGCTGTAACTGGAATGCTGTCTATGCAGTTTGTCTGTATATATGTGTATATATGCAGTCTGTCAATCAGATGCATCTCTGAAGTCATCTTCAAGTCTACTTTTTACAAGCTAAGCAGTTGGACACCCAAGGCACCCCCGGCCTATGACAGAGCTTTATTGTTTTGTCTTCCAGGCTCTACTTTTGCTGTCTCATACCACAGAAAGCGACTTGACAATCTGCAGTGCTTGAAATTATTAAGACGGAAATTGCATTGGAAACATACCAGGCATCCTCTAAATCCTTTTGCCTTTAATTGACTAAAGGAATAAAATATAATTGAATCTTCTTAAAACTAACTTACCTGGTAAGGACTGCAGTGAATGCATATCTGACATCAAGGATGTATTCTTCAGTCAGAATGGTCCTATTTTCATTTATGCTTAAAAAAGGGAAGAAGCCACTTCATTATCTGCTTGCCTTGGTCCTTAATTTCTATGGTTTTAGAATTGTTAATATTGGCTGTACAAGAGGGATGGAAACAGTGATGACATGGTACAGGAGTGTTGGAGTAGCCCTTTATTACTGTAATTACTACAGATTTGGAAAGCTGTCATTGCCTTGAAATGTTTCCCCACAAACCAATGCTCATCTGTGCTTTTATTAAAATTTAAAGCCTCTACCCCTCACAAAACTGGACATTAAATTAATATAGAACCCTTTGGCTTCAACTGTGCTTGCAAGGAAGTACAGCTGCCAGAGATGAGTTCTCATTTCCTTTTTAAAAATTCTCCCTTTAATGGGGACCAGTCAGTCCCCATACATTTTAAAGGTAGGAAGATGACAAGAAAGGAATCTGAATGGTAACTTCCACCCATTAGATAGCCCCTAATCAAGAAAAATGCCTTAAACCTATGTTTTCATCCCCATCATTTGGAGTGAAAGCTTTTCATGGAACAGAGCTGGATTATGTATTTAATTATCTGTTCTTTCTGCTAAGGTGGGAGGATGCTAGAACACACAAGCTTTTAAATACATACTACACTTAAGGACCTTAAAGGGTGCTCCATCTTTCACTGAAATAATGAAGTATGAGCAAAGTTAAGATTTTCATAAGGGAAGGAAAAGTTTTTCACATAGATCCAAGCACCTCAGGAGGTTGAAAAGTATAGTTTTGTGACTGATAAATAGTATGGACACTGAGTAGGAATTCTGATATACCCTTTCTAGTTTGTCATGTATTGTGTGGTGAAAATAGCAATACTCACTTTGTGATATTCACAGTGATCGAAGACTTATTTTGGAATATGCTTTCCTCTAGTTGCCAAATCACTGAAAAATCTGCCTGTTTTGAGGGAAAAGAAAGACAATGAAATATCAATTACCCCGTAAATACTCTAACTCTCCAAGGTACTGTTAAAACATGAGGGCTAAGGTATTTTCTGCTCACAGTAATTTCTCCTTCTAGAGAAATTAAACATTAAATAAAGTGCAGGAATATGAAGGCTATCTCTTACCTTCAGAAAATGCATACCAGCCATAAGCTGAATTAGAAAGAATGGCAGCTCTGGTCTATTTGTAGAGATAGAGAATGCAAGAGCAGCTACTCAAAGTACCGTTTAGAGGTATGGAAAAAATGAAAATAATGAAATCATGATCTCTACTTACAGTTGTCTTCTTGAACACTGGATACCCAATTCTGCAGTTACAGGATAAGACTGCAGAAGTTAATGGTACTGGTTGGCCACAGTGAACAGCAGGAGAGGTTGGCTGCCAACAGAACAGGAATGCTCTTTAATGTTGAATAAAAACAGACTGGGAATTTCAACTCAGTCTGTGCCTGCTCCCGTAAAATGAATTAAGTACAAATAGCCCAATAAAAGCTTGGGAGTATTAAATCAGATAAATGCAATATTCAGTCCTAACAACTGAAATGCTCCTTCCCTTCCCTGTAACTCATAAAGTTTTATTTAGGTAGTAAATTAATAGTAGTCTAAGCTGGGTTTTCTTTAAGCAGTCTGCTGCTAGCTGAAGAGTTGTTCTATAATCTTACCTCAAATGTCACCTTCTTAAAATGCAAGGTTTTGGGATAATTCAAGACCATAGTTGTCATGTATGAGTTATCTCCACTGTTCATTAGTGAAACCTTCATGCTCACTTCTTTAGTGTAGCCCACCACTAATTCCTTTCTAGAAACAGACAGAAAAATGAGATCACATGTAATTTCTAAGGGTTGTTATTAATAAGAGGCCTGACTGTTCTGATAATTACTTCCTCCAGGTGCTTTCATACACAGGATAATGCAATAGTCCAATTAATTATTCTGTATTCTTCAGGGTGTGTAGGAAAATGCTTCCTTCTTAATTTCAAAGGCAGTTACTTTATGTAGCATTTTATAATATGTTTTACATCAAGATAGATTTCAAACATTGTTTTGCTTGATTGGCTTCTCAGTGAATCTCCAGGGTAAATTTTTACAATGCAGTAAAGCTACCATTTTGTCTAAGGCTGTGTGAACTGAGGAGCTATCTGTTGTAGCGCTACGCTGTGCATCTGCCTAGAACTGTCACATGTTCACAATTAAAAATCAGAATTGTGATTTTATGATGACCAGAGTTGCTTAAACCTTGGTCTTGGTCTGTCCTCTAAAATTTCCTAGAACACCCCAGCAACACCCATGGAGGCTTGACGTTACAACACTGTGTGAATGTGATGCTAGGGAAAGGATGAACTGAATGGAAAGCAATGTAAGAAGGAGGACAGCAAATCTTGCCTGAGAATTTAAAGAAAACATCTTAAGCACAAAGATGCCACTTTATATGAATGATAAATGCAAAATCTGGATAATGCAATAAGTATGACTCACTGAATCTCAGTTGTCAAAGTTAACTGAGCAGCACAGATGGTCTTGTTGCAGTCCTCCTTGTAAGGCAACTGAAAGCAAAGACAGAGCAAGTTAAACAGCCTTAATTTTTCTAAGGTAGCAGATTCAGAATATCTACATATAAACATACATCCTCTGACAATCAAAATTCCCATGACCTCCATCAAGGAGAAGCTGGAAAAAAAAGACCCTCCAGCACTAAATCATTGATGATGTTTTGTAATTCAGCTCCCAGGACAAGGTTCATTAGCAATAGCATGAAAAGTCTTCACTGGGGTCAAGGTCTTGTTAAAGAAATGCCACTTATTTACCTCTGGATTGTTACAGGGCAATAATATTTATCTATTTTCCAGAGACTATATGTTTTCCTTGAATAAATATGCTCATATGCTGTGCCATTTTACAGCCACGCTATTCTGTAGACATGAGGTTACTTTCTTTAGCAAGTTTTATTCACCAAGAAAAATCTGTCTGTGGCTGATGTTTCTGGAGAATTTCAATGAGAATTAATAATTGGATGTTGTGTGCATAAGCACTAAGCAATGCTGACTAACAGTCCAGAATCTCATGTATTATTGGGAAATTAATGTACCATCAACATCATAATCCCTAAGAGCACTGTAACTATAGTAAGTAGTGTTCATTATTGCTCAGTGCTAAATGTTTTCCTAACATTTCTGTCCTCTGCTTTATGGGCAGCTAATACAATATTGAATGATGGTAAAAGCGCTTATTACGTAGCAAAATGCTGCCTCTTTACAGAGCTTTATGCAATTTGTTCACAAGCTGTGATTTGGATTTCAGAGAAACCGTGAAAAAGCCAGATTAGCTTGTAGGAATGCAGCTACTAAAGGGCAAGAGAGGAGACAGGGTATCAAACTTAAGGTTATTAGAAGTTTGCTGCCTCCTAAATGTTGATTTGAAACAAACAACTAAAACTAAAAATTATAAATACAATTTGAATGTGTTTTAAAATTAGAAAGCTAATTTAGAATTAAGTAGAATTTAAAATTGTACATTAGGCAATTGTATAGTTGTTGCTACCAAATACACCATTCAAATAACAAGTCTTAATATAAGTTTCAACAGAAAGCTCAGTATTTGAGAAGTACTTCACAAAACGCACACACCACCTGCCTTCGCAAGTAGCATCTAATCTCATTTTATACAGAGGCACAGGAGAAAGTCAAAAGTGGTCAAAAGTAAAGCAAGACAGAAAGCTCTTTACTACTGCTTTGGTTTTTTACCTGAAAATGCATTTCTGATGGCTGGTATCTATCCAGCACAGGGACAGCAAACTCCATGGGATCATTTTTGTTCAAGATGTCGTGTTTAACTCTCAGAAACACACTGGTAAAACAGTCAGAGTCACACGGCTACAAGAAAAGAAAAACAAGAAGTTGAAGAAAATATCTGGGTATTAAACTGCAGAAGTGTTCACATGTCATCTCTGTTTCAGCTTCTGTCATATTTAGGGACCTTTTAGCTCAGACGTTTTCTTTGGGCCACTGTGTTTAGTAGGTATCAGTGGAACATTTGCCTATCAAATGTTTTCTTGCATCACTTTAGACATTTGGCTCCCATAACATCTCCTTGATAATGTGTTCAGTGATTCAGGTATGCATTGTGGAAGAGTTTCCTTATGTTTGCTTTAATTCTGCACAGCTCCATGCCTCTCCTACAATTCTACATCTCCTCTACATCTTCAGCTGTAAAACGTGCTCAGCAAGCCTAACACCAGGAAAACCTACCCCACTGCAGTATTTTTACATTTCAAGACTCATCATCATGCAGATTCTGTTATGAAATCCTACCCTCTCAACCCTTCTTTCTGTAGGAAGTCTGACCAACATCACCTACCAGTGGGTAAAGCTGCAGTTCAGAGCACATGTGCTCGCCGACCAACAGCTTCCCACTTGTTGTGGTGTTCTGATCTTCAAACTGTACTCTCCTCTTTGCCACTTTCACATCTAAGTCCACCGTGTAGAAAATGTACAACTGTGAAAACTCTGCAAGATTTTAAAAATCCTGTTAGAGGTACCAGAAATTGTCCTCGGTGCTAAGTTTCCAAGGACTGTCATAGGACCGCAGCTTTCAATCTGATCACAGCTCCCATTCATTACCTTGTTGAGACATCGGTAGAGCTGAGATTGCATTGAAACATAGTTGTGCTGTGACAAGGCTGTTATTTTGGAAAATGAGGATTCTGTCAGGGTTGAATCTCATGCTGGTGAGAAAGTGGACAACTGGTCTCGAGCTGGTCAGTGAAGAACACATAAGGAAGAGAATCAAAAAGAAGTCTCTGAACTGAAACATTACAGGAAAAATGTTTGAAGAAAGCCTGGCAGCAAGAGTAAGAACTGCTCAGTATTTCCATGGTATTTCACCTGGACCAGGCTGCTTATTTACAGAAGTTCCAGTTTCTGCTGGGAATGTTCAGAACACACAAAATCCCAAGAGTCTGAAGGAACAGACAGCCAAAATACACCAGTATGGCTAGAGTTTCAGAATTAAACATGCTGTTTATGTTTCCATTAGGTAAACACATTATCTAGGGGTTCAAATTCTGTATCTATAATTTGTTTTCAAACATAAAATGCAAGAACAAAATCAAATCTGTCTTCCATGTCTTACTCTTTGTGAACTGCACAGGTCTCTCAGTTCATAGAATCACAGAATAGTTAGGGTTGGAAAGGACCTTAAGAACATCAAGTTCCAACCCCCCTGCCCTGGGCAGGAACACCTCCCACTAAACCATGCCACCCAAGGCTTTGTCCAACCTGGCCTTGAACACTGCCAGGGATGGAGCATTCACAGCTTCCTTGGGCAACCCATTCCAGTGCCTCAGCACCCTAACAGGAAAGAATTTCCTCCTTATATCCAACCTAAACTTTCCCTGCTTAAGTTTTAACCCATTACCAGTTAAAAAATGTCTGATTGAAAATGAGGTATGTAAATGCAATGTAATGTATGTAATGTAAAGAAATGATCTTTTTTGTCAAAATGACTTACATTATCAGTACTGAACTGCAGACATCAAGGTCTCCTTAGACCTAGATCTGTGTTAATCATTTCATGTTCACTACCTCATGCTTGTTCAAAGCTTTACACATACAAAGGGAAAAGTCTTTGCAACTTGAGCTAAAGGCTTTACATTTTATATGATTTCTAGCACTGGGAAATATTTTTTATGTCCCTCTGGCACTGAATTAAAAATAGAATCATTACACTGCTTGGAACACAGATTCTAAATTTGCCTGAAGCATTTCCTCAGCACACTAAAAAGTAGAACTTACTACCTACCGTAGCACAATCACGTTCGCCAGTGATCCTACTGTGATGTCTTGGAGACCATCATTAGTGAAATCAAAGCCACCATCAATGGATTGTCCAAAATACTGGAGTCCTGAAGAAATTTCTGAGGCTTTTACTCTCTAAAAGGGGGAAACATAAATGAATAAGTCATGAAGTCTCTCCTGTCCTTGGGAAAATACACGTCTTTTCAGGAGGCTGCTGTGAGGAGGGTTTTGTAACATTCTTGAGATGCAAAATACTGACTCTGAACAGCCTGTAAAGGACAGGCAGGCTTGCAAAAGGCTGTGATGTTCTATAGCCAGCACCTGAACCCAGCTCCTCTGCCTGAGCAGACAGGTGAGTAATTACAGTTAAGAAGCAGCTCTGCTGCAGAAACCTACTGAGTCACATAAACCATCTGACATCTGCAAATTTCTCACCCATAAATGCAAATGACACGTGGAAGTCCATCTTCCCAGCCTCATGCTACAGAACCACAAGCTTCTCCCTCTCAAGATGTACTGGAGCCAATTCCCAACAAGACACGTACTTGAGAAAAAGAGCTCTTGATCCTGTCTTTATCCCCATTAAAGATGTAAATGCTGCCGAAAGAGGAAGCGTATGAAAGCTGATCTTCAAGGGGGGCTCCAACTGCAATATCCTCATATCCATCCCCATTGATGTCTCCAATGCTGGCCACAGTAAACCCAAACCTTGCAAAAGGAGAGGTCACCTGCACATCTAAGTGTTCTTTCAAGGTGAATGATCCAGTCTGAAAAACACCCCAGAGGAAATCCATTTATAGCAAATGTAGCATCAGTAGCTCTTACATAAAAAAGACATAATCTTACTGCACACTAATATTTTTCTGCACATTAATAATTCTTAAAGGTGAACAATGAAGTCCTAAATAATATATTGAATTCAAGATACCAGCTAATTCTTGGGACAGAAGATTGATCCTTCTGCCTTGAGAGCATACAAATTCTCGCACAGAAGCAGTGTCTCTGGACAGCCCTACTCAAGCAGACACACTGAAGCCCTGTCTTTTCTTAAATCAGTAGCGGATTGAGTTGATCCTGGGCTTGTTTCATAACAGAAAGCATCCCATCTCCTCCACCCTGTTACAGAAATAAGCCACAAGAGGGTGCACGTTATTTGAATTCTGTCATGCCCGGGCTGTTCTTTCCTGCTTCCAACCATCCTTTATATGCCCTGAGCCGATTTTAGCAGAGCACCAAAGAGTGTTTTCTGCTGGTCTACTGCTAAAGTTCACATCTCACTCGAAATGACACAATTAACTTATATCCTATATATCATGTAACAGATCCTGCAGCAAGGCTCACAAAACATTTTGTTTTCCACAAGTCCCAGGAAGCAAAGTTTTAGCAGCTACCCATGCACATGTTTATTGCAAGCATCACAAGGAACACTGCTTGGCAGAGCAAGGTCTGCATCAACAAATTGCCTTTGTATGGGCTAAAGATACGATATCATCACACTGTGATAAGTGTATACCTTAGGCACAGACTGGTTTTATTTCTTGTTACTTCTCTTTTATATTCTAATGATTAAGACAGGCTTGCTGGCTTCAGCCTGCAGTCCTCTACCATACAGGGAGAGCACACTCAGTGAGAGCACAAAGGAGGAATGTTTTATTTGTCACTACTTAGGCATGGTTGGAAAATCCCCAACATGGAGTGTTTACGCTACCAGTGTTTTTACCTCTGTCTCCAGGCGATAGACGTAAACCCTTCCTTCTTCCCCTCGAATGTGGTAAAATGGAGCTCCAACAAGGAGAAGATCTGTCACCCCATCACGGTTCACATCAACTGGGCAGAGCTCAGATCCAAAATAAGATCCAACCTGTGCTCCAGAAAAAGACAAGCAGCTCTTTCACTGGAATTCTCTATATATAGCTTTGTAGAATTAGTGTCCTTTGCAGCAGTAAGGCAATTTTTAGAACAAAACACCACATATCTACTTATATGTGGATCATTTCCTATTATTTATTTTATTACAGCCATCCTCAGGGACAGCTCCTATAACCAGATTAGCAGTAACAAAATCATTATTCAACAATTTGACAGAGAAAAAAGGAGTACCACAGCTGATGACCTCTTTCCCCACGAACCATGAGGACAGGACATAAATATAGCACACCCCAGTTAGCTAATTTCTTTCCCAGTCTTTTTCCAAATTTCATTATTTCTTCTGCTGTTCACAAAGCACTATGAACAAAGACTCTGTAATACACATCTGGCTAAATCCAAGTGTGTCTGGAGGAGAAAATGCAGCTCTGTTTGAGCAGACAGATGTGTGCAGCCTACCTGCCCCTGGTGAGTGAAGCCCAGTACCTGTTCTCCTTGCAGTGTTTGTTTTAAGTGGCCATCCTGAAACACCAACACCTTCCCGTTCATGCTGTGCCGTGGAGCTCCAGCCACGTACAAGGGTCCATATTCTGTGTGTACCACTGCCACGCTGTACCCTGGTATATTCACAGAAGAATAAAAATAGCATACGTTATCAGTACCATACTCTATACCTGAAGGAAAAAACCCACAGAGTTTGGTCTGAGACACAGACCTATATATTCAATGAGATCCAAGAACTTACACCATAATCTAACTGTTGGAGCCCATAGTTTTGATTACACAGCATCTCATAAAAATACTGATTAGGAAATAGCAGGCAACTTTTCTGACAGCAAAGCCAGCAAAGCTGCCTTAGCAGCTCTTAGGGTAATTGAATAAATTACTGTCCTGAAAAATATGCTTGAACTCTTGATGACTTTTCTTAGCATTTGTCAGAGTTCCTGCATGATTATCCATCATCCACACTTTTTTGGTTTCAATTATTATGCCTGCAAGCTGTAAGGTTTATCATCCTCCACAGAAGTGAAGAATATGCTATACTCTGTCTAGAAAGCAAAACAAGAACTTTATGGGGCTTCTGTAGCACAGAGGTAATGGGAGAGGGATTATCCCAACACAAACAAGTCCACAGCACCTCATATTACTTGGTAAGACTTTATGGCCAAGGCTACAGTCAGGAGATACAGGGATCATTAGGCTACAAAGCACTGGGGTGAACAAGCAAGGCTTTACTTGTTACCAAGACGTGAACAGTATGGATTCACAAGCTGTCTTCTCCATGCACTCGCATTAAGTGAAATATTTATTAACTCTAAAAATGCCCCTCATTGCAAGTATTCTTGCACAGTGAAAACAAATGGCATGTGTTAACAGAGCAGTACCACAAGGCATCATAACTCATAGGAGAAAACAAGTTGTATCTTCCCAAAACAAGGAGGCAGAGAGTGTTTTCATCAGAATCGATCTCCCTGCTAGAGAAAACACTGGAAATCCAGTATGATGCAGCAGGAGGTGGCCTTCATCAGGTACATATTGTCATTATTGCCACACTGCACTAAATGCCAATAAACTAAGCAAAACCGCAGTTAGGTTGTCACTTGATCTCAGAGAGTAGTAAACCTGTTACCTAGGTAACCGTATTTTGCTTGTTGGGCTGCTTCTTTAGATTCATTCAGGAAAACAGCAGTCTTGGTTGCCAGATCATACAGCAGAATTCCACCAGACCAGTCAAAGGCCCCCACTGCACCAAAGATTAAGACTTGCTGCAGAAGCAACATTAGCAAATTAGAAGAGATGAACACAGAGCAATTGCCTCTAGCACTCGCAAAGCAATTTAGTATGGAGCAATGTTTTCTGGCTCCTAAACTCCCTGACTTGCGCATTGGAGATTCAGTTAGTGGCTTTGATTTCTCCTAGCAAAATCAAAGCTATCAACTGGAGATAGCTCTTTTGCCCAGTGGAATAAAAAGGATGCAGTAGTTAGAACAGGAATCACAAGATAAATCCCATCCCTACTCACAGACTATATAAAAGTGATATTTTTGCTTATCTGACACATTCAAAGCAAGCAGTGGCTTGCTAAAAAGATTTGACTATATGGGTCTCACACTTTTGTATCACCACAATTTACTGTGGGAGACCTCCTGAAACCTTATCACAGCAGCACAGCATACAACCATTTAGCAGGGTTAAATGCAGAACACTTACCTTATCCAAGATCTGCACATTGAAACCAGCTTGTGCAAGTTCATATTCCAGAGCATCACCCTGTGTACCTGAGGATGCAGCAGAAATGGGGTAAGCTACTTTCTCCTTATTTCTCAAAAGGTACTAGTGAAATAGAAAGGTTGCTACTTACCTTCTATACCAATAATACTCTGCTGCAGGGTTGAAATCAGCCCATCTAATGCTGAATAATTGGTCACCTGAAATACATTAGTGTCATCTGAACCAGAGGCAATCAGCCGCAATTCGTTTAGGGCCTTTGGTTTTTTGAAGGCGTCTCCCACCTGCAGAAGAGATGCAAATCAAACAAAAGAAGCAGCCTTTAGAGGCTTCTTACCCCGACCTAATTCCTTCAACAGTCTGTGGAAAAACCTCAGCTCCAGCCAGTATGTGTAAACCCAGGAATAGCAATTGCTTTAGAAACCAATGAACTGGACAGCCGCAGTGTCTCCTGGAGCCAAACCATTACAAGCATCTTCATATAACTGGCTGGTGCTATATTCAGTTATACACTTTTGCTGTATCTAACAATTGATTTTGGAAATCAACTGATTACAAGACATCACAAAATTGAACATTTTCTTGTCCTGAAAGAATGATAAGAGATAGCAGGAATATTATTTGAGGAGACATAGAGCAGGTCTGAAACTAAACTTCAGACTTCAGGACAAAGCCTTGTTGACAAACAAACACGCAGGTTAATTTGCTGGTTTCTCCTTTTCTCTGCCCCCTGGTGCTACCAAGAAATAGAAGGCAAATATTCTCCAAGTACATTCCCAGCTTACTCCAATAGCATAACGCTTGATTCCTGCCATTTTGGGTGAATTTATAACAGTTGTCAAGTTCATTTCATCCAGGAGTATTTCCCCATCTGTAAGCACAATCATGACCTTGGCTGCATCCTTGTGGGACCCATGACTTTCAGTGAAGATATAATCCCTGGAAAACATCAAAACAAGGAACTTGGGATGAAAGTTAAAGCTTCCCTCCTTGAGACAGAAGGAAGAGTCCTGTTGAATTATGCACTTGCAACTAACAGTCACAGGAAGGAGGCAAGAGGATTCACATCTTCACACATCTTCATACTCACACGTCTTAAAACTGCTAGGGGTTGTCTCCCTTTCTATTGCTTCCTGAGTGCCCCCACACCAAGAATTAGGCACCAACAGCTGGTTTTTATAACCCTCTAAAACATGGCATAGGAACCACTGCCTGCCATTCAACCACTGCCAGATGGACCTGAATGCTTCCAGGATGGACCACTGCTTTCAGGACCTGGATGTTCATAGATGTCCCTCTCCCTTACTCATGAAATGCCCCAGAAATTCATCCCCTTAATTTCTTGTGCTCTTTTGTTACTTACAGGACATACTGCATGGCAGATGCTGTTTTTGTCACATTGCACACCTGCACAATATCAAGTACTTTCTGGAGGGTGGCATGAGGATTCCAGTTTTCTCGCAGGTCGAACTCCGTTCTGATTTCAAACCCATACTGCACCACTGCAAAATTGCACTGGAAGGAAGCAGCAGATAAGCACATGCTTGTGACTACTGTTGATTCATCTCTGCAATAACTAGCCCAGAAATCCCAACAGAAATATTAGCCAGACTATGCAGAAAGGAAGATTTTTTTTTCAGGAGAACATGGCTTTTAAGTATGTCTAGTGCAGACACAGTGATTGTTGTAAGTATGTTATAGCTCAGGAAAACCAAGGCACTACCAGTTCAGAGAGAAAAATTGTTTTGGGAAACACTGATTGAAGTCCTTGCATTTTCCTGCTCTGTTTGGCCCACGTGCAGGCTGCAGAGGAGATTATATGTGATACTACTGAATTGTTCCTTCATTGCTTCCTGCTGCACATTGCCTTTCCTTGGAGTACTCCTATGCCATGACAGTCTGATTAACAAAGACAGTCTGGAGAATGGGACCATTTCTTCATTTTGTATCTGCACCCTAGAATATGCTGTCATTTGAACCATTTGAGAGATAGAGGCTTTCCTAAAGTTGTTGTGTGGATGACACTTCTTAGCCTCACAAGAGGAAGCAGCAGAGTACCTTCTCGCAGAATATGTAACCGGAGTTAAACAAGACTGGTAAGGTACCTGGCTGAAGAAGCAGTCTTAACTGGTGCTTCTGTGATTGCAGAATAGGAATAGAGACAGGAAACCAGAGGAGAGTCATGACTGTCACCTTACAAGAAAGCAGAGATGGGCAGCGTAGCAGACCTAGGGATTTCTGAGCATAGAAATAAGACTTTCTATACCAACAATGTTACTGGGATCAAGACTGGGAAGGTACTGCTGAGATGTAAGCAAAATTATATTGAGAATACCTGCCAGTCACGGAAGTGCTTTTCCATCCTAATAGAAACAAACCTGTGCAGTTTCAAGTTCTGGTGAAGAGCAGCTTAAAGCACAGCACATTCTCTAGCCTGCTAAAGAAAGAGAGTGGAGAGTACCTGAAAGCACTTCTCATACAGCATTTTCATCATCTTATGGATGAATCCTTTTGCTCTTTCAAAATCCTCGGGCTCAATGCTCCCTGATCCATCCAGGACAAAAGCAATCTCAGTTCCAGAAGCTGCCCAGGAAAGTAAAGGAATGAGAAGGTGGCAATCAGCAGTCTTGGTCAGAGCCAGGTTCCTTATGCAGTGTTATTGATCAACACACAAGTCATCTCACTCAAACAAGCAACTGAACTGCACCAAGACTGCTCAGCTGTCATTCCAGCATGACCTACATCTCAGGTCTGGCAGCTCATGGTACAGCAACCCCCCATACTTTGTCAGCCCATGGCAGTCCCTGGCACGATTCTGCTAGAAAATACTTCACCACGTACACAAGCCATCTTCCTCCTCCTCCTCTTCGTCCTCCTCCATCCAAGACGGGAGCCTGCTGTCCCCACTGTTATTAGGTTTTCTGTGCCCTGGTGCTTCAGCTGGAGTATTTTCAGCTGAATTAGGAAACGAGTTTGAACAAAGATGACAGGGTGGGAGAGAAAGCAAAAGGTGAAGTAAACCCTTGCATTATTGCCTATGCGGTGTTCCTGCTCCTTGCTGCTTGCCAGCTGAACTCTTCCTCATCCCTGCAGTCAATATTGTGTTCAGGTGCAAGACTACAGGTACTGTGGAAATACTGGGAGTTTCGAAGACTGTGGGGACCAGGACTGCATCTTAAAGCTGCAGCTACAATTCAACAGAAATAAACTGCTCTGAGCACACCCAGAAGGCCAGTAATTTAACAGAAACACTGAGCCTGCAGTGAAAGTATGGTAAAGCACCTCTCTCTGTACTGATGTTATGGCTGCAGGTCACAGATGCCAAATATGATCCTCTTGTCCTGTCTGTCTGAAGAGGACTGTTAGTAGTGTAATAGAAATCACATGCTGCAACTTGCTGTTGCTGGGCAAATGATTACCAGAACAGGTAAGATCTGTATATGAATTTACATTCCTTGAGTAATGAAACTACCCCCCATTACATAGCCACTCTGTAAGTTACAGAGAACATAGATGTGTCAGGAGTGGGATTTCTTCTACCTGAATCTCTCAGAGTCTCTCTCTCCAGCTCTGAAAGGAAACTGTCAAAATCTTCATGTGTGGACAGAATGAACCTGTCGCCTCTAACTTTCTGCAGCTCTTCTGGGACCCACTGGTTGCTTGTGAACTCTCCAATCTAGGGAGAAGACAGGGAGATTGAACACATTTCATACACAGACCAAAAAACCAGCAAATTCCCAAATTGCCATTAAAAACTTGAAAGCTCTTAACAGGAGGGAATTTTCTGAAAGCTTGGTAAAGCAACCCTGATCCTAGATTCCATAGAAAGCCCTTATTTGCAAAGAAAAAAACAATAATAAAAGCTCTAGAGCCACAAGATATACACAACTGAAGCACTTCTGTTTCTAGGATATATTCCTTAACTCCTTCAAAATAAGCTCTCTGACATCAAGAAGATGGAGGCCTGAGTGAAACGGAGGAGCCAGATTAGACATCCTACAAGTCTAATGCATGGCTACTTTTTCTTTCACCCACTGCTAAACCATAAAAGCAGACACATGGGATGGATGGAAACATCACTCCCTTATATATTGCTTTGATGCAAAAGAAGTATGACTTTGATGGTGCTTCCCACTCACCCCAGGAGCATAGAGTTTGACCCTAGCCATGTCCAAGGAGTTCATGACATTTCCCAACCTATGGTTTTCCAGAAGCACTTGCCCAGATGCCATGACAATGATTATCTTGTTAACAGTCTGGCTGAAGTCATGGCTTTCAAAGACTTTATTCCTGTGGAAAAAGAAGCCAAGAGGTATTTCATGGGACAAGTCATCTCTGCAGAGCTAGAAATGTTGATAGCAGGGTGCTGATGTTCACTGAGCTCTCAGCCCACAAGAGCAGAGATGCACAAGGCAAACATGCACCAGGATTTATGCTTTCCGGGGACATTGGCTGCCCACAACAGGTAGCTCTGACTTCACGAGCACTTTCACAATTAGCATATGGGGCATTTTTACAGTGTGGGTCAGTATTGTTACAGTCATGCCACTGAGAGGAAAATGGAGTCAAGAGGGAAAGCATGACTCCCAGAGATGCAGCAGAGCAGTGCAGATGGGAAAGCACCTGCTTAAAGCAAGACCCAAGTGATTAAATTTTCATTCTGAAGCCCCTGTGTCAGCCAGAAAGGATTTTACACCTTGCCTCTTGGCAATTACTCATTTACAGGCCTCAGCTGGCAGAGCCTGTCACTAAGAGAAGCATTGAAAAAGCGAAGGTTTTGAGAGTGTGAGATAAAGAAGGGTAGAGAGGAGATGTGGAAGGCTGCACTGATGCACATGAAACAAGGAATCACTTGAGTGTTCCTGGAGTTTCCTGAGACACGTGAACTCACAACACATGCTGCAGTGTGGCTGCGATGTCAGTCTGTGAGCTCTGCTGCTTGATGTTCCTGACTTTGAAGAAAGCAGTTAGCCTGTTGCAGCTCTCTTGCAGGCTCAGTTCAGTTTGGATCTGTGCTCCACCCTGCACCACAGCAAACCTGATCTGGATAAAGCAGATGGCAGTGCCAGAGCTGGTTAGACAAGACCTAAGACAGGACCCCTAAGACCCTCAAAATGCCAAATTTAGTCTCAAACTCTACTGCACAAACACAAAAAAAAAGCATATATTGCAAGTAATAGGTATATTGTCTTTACCCCTCTGTCTCCATCACACATTTGTATTCTGGTGATCCCTTTTGGATCAGCTCCAGGAACTGACTTTATTTCCTTTGGCTCAACACAGTGATTTCTGTCTGAAGTTCCTGTATTTATCTGTCTGGCTAGACCTTTTGTGAGCATATGGCTCAGCCTCACTTTGTCCCCAGATTCATTTAAATGATTTAAAGTAATAGCTTATACACCATACTCCTTATTTTTGCATGTCGTGGTTCAAGGTGCCCTGAGAGATTTGCCTGGTAAAATATCTAAGCATGCTTCTGGCATGAAAATCCACTCCTAGCTCTTCCACTTTCCTCTTTAGCTACACTTCCTCCTTGGCTCACTAACATTTAACTCTTGCATTAGAATATGTAGAATTATTACCAGCATCAGTGTGAAGTTTAAAAAGCAATAATTATATGATCTAGGAGACTTTCCATTCTTCACTAGAGCTCTGATGCATCCTGTCTACCAGATTATGAAACCCTGAGGAGGTTCACGCACCTTTGAGCATTTCTGCCACAATGACTTCATCAGATTGAGGACAGAGGTCTTGGCATTTTGGAAATCGTCTGGCTTAGTGTTCTCTGATCCAGCCAGAATGACAGCAATCTCTGTTCCCACTTCTGTCAATGCAGTTAAATATAAAAGGACATTTGAAGGGGTATGTGAACAGCCCAACATTTAACAAGGGTTCAAGAACATTTACATAGTGTTAAATAACCAAAAATTTGACTACTACACCATCCAGCCATTTTAAAAGCAGGTCAAGCTGATATGGTCTACACTGTAGTGACAGGTTTTATTTTTCAGAATCTCAGTTAATGATGATTGTAACAATGATTGACATTTACCATTACAGATGAACTTCAAAACCTCAATCTTTTCCCTCCCCAGCTCTCTCCCACCAGATGCATGCAAGCTGCTTCAAACTCAGCTAATACAGAAGGAAGTAATATTTGTACCTGTCCAGTACTTACCTTTGCACATAGAGCTGTTTTGTGTGCTACCAAAGAGCTCACCACAAGCACTGCTGGTGGTGTCTGTGCTGACAGAGCTGCTCCCTTCAGCAATCTTCTTGTTGCTGGTTCTACTTTGAATGCCTTTTAATTTGGTCTCAACTAAAGAGTTTAAAAAGCAAGAAAAAAAACACACTCTAGCTTTTGAAAATTATCTTCTAATAAACACATCTTCTAATAAACACATCTTAAACTCAAGAGCTATTTCCACCAGGGTCCCAGACTCACAAAAGACCTGGGGGTCAGACTGTTAACAGCAGTTATATGGAATGACACCATCTAGGTGTCTAATTGAAACTTCTCAGCTTCTTTGCAGTGACAGCAAGAAGCAGAGCAAGGCTGGACAATCAGACCAGCTCTCTGCTTCCTTGATTAAATGTCCAGTTCAGTTGGAATGAACCATCTTTAATGCTCAGGCACTTTTTAAATTCCCAGTGGATGTCTGTCATATCCATCCACTGAGAATGTCAATGCTTTTCTAAATTCTGGTTTAAGAGCTGGATCTTTTAGATGCATGGACACCACAACAGGAGCTCCCTGCTGCTGTGTGCTGATCTGCAATGCTGAACGTTGTAACCCTGTTGAAGTCACTACAATACATGTTAAAATCCAGCACTAGGTCTCTCCCAGTGGACAGTACATTAGGAACTCAGAAGGCCCCTGCTGTTAGAACAGAGCCTCAGGCTGTTATTTCTCCCCCTGCAAAGGCACAGCACTGGCTTTGCTCCTATACCCATCTTGGTGAGGTTGAGGAAGGCTGTGCTGTGCAGGTTGGTGGTGAGCAGAGTACAGACTCCATTCATGTCCTCGGTGGTAGTGAAGGGTCGGTGGTGCTTCTTCTGCAGGCAAGCCTGTGGAGCAACAGGACAAGCTAATGAATGAGGAGCAAAGGTGTAGACAGAGGATGACTGAAGATGCCATATGACAAATATTCAGCATCCCCTGCACAGCATTGAAAGCCTAGTGGGAGTTAAAAAGCACCTTCCCTGAAGTGCCCCCTGCCACATGAGGTTACCCAGGGCTCCAGCCCTGAGCTGAGGCAAAGATCAGGGCTCAGGGCTAATCAGGCTGAGGCGTTAGCCTCCAAACTGGTGTCTCTCCTAAGCCTCCTCTACCAATCCTCCCTTTTCCTATGAGTGGGGGTGGCTGCAGTTAAGTATAAGGTCCTTTGCAGTCCTCAGCTAATGAGAAGGGCCCTTCTCAGTTTTCCATCCTGGCTGGCAATGCACCATCTGGTTTTCTAACCAGCCAGCATCCAACCAAGAGCTTTTAGCCTTTGTCCTTATGTTAATGTCTGCTCATTTTGTTCATTTGCATTTCCCAGCAAAAATACACAGCATTTTGGAAAAATACAGCTGTTCTCAGCCAAAGATATTTTCATTCCCTTACCAGGATCCAATCTGAATTCCTGTCAATAGCTATGCCGCCATCCTGGACGTTTTTGGAGCCTTTAATATTTCCTGAAATTGAATGAATGATTGAATGAATAAAGAACAGAATTGAAATGGATACAGTACTTGCCAGCCTTGGACAAATAGAATAAACACAGAGAAAGGCTACAACTACTGAGGTCAGCTGTATCTGCTGTCCTAGAAGGACTCAGGGTTAATGTTTTCAGCAACTGTGACAGTAATGTATGTCCTGGAAACAAGAAATGTTGCCTTGTATTTCAACAGAATTTAGGTGAGGATTTAAGCTGTGGCCTACATTACTTAGCAGTGTGCCCAGTTCTCTCTGGAGCACCCAGCCTGTGCACCTCCCTATGGCAAAGCAAGTATTGGGAAGGGGAAGCAGGACTGTACCTCGCAGAGGTATCTCCTGGCACTGGATCTCCTCCTGCAAAATGGTGCACTTCCTCAGCCTGCCCAGCCCCTTGTCTACTGAGGAAGTAGCCAAAATCCTGTGAATGCGAATAAAAAGTGGAAAAGAGGGAAGGCAGCAGATTTGAGCTGAATCAGGCATTAACATGAAAACACTTATTTTCTCCTACAAATCATCATCCTTCCCATTATCTGAACATTATCTGAATTCAGGAGAGCTATCCCAGATCAAGGAAGAGGTCTGGAAGGGACTTGCCCGTAGAATACTGGAGATAAATGGAGGCCAGAAGTGCAGCAAGAAAGTCCACCCACCATGTAGGAAATGGCAGCACTGCTGTATGAAATGGGGACTGCTCTTTAAGTCAGCCAATTTCTGCTCAGGGGCTAGACAAGTTTATTTGCTCTGAAATTTAAAATACGCTGCCTGCTACACAGCCTGAGCAATCTGCTCAGCATAATATAGGTTATCTCTACAGGAACCACTTGTGGTTGGCTTCTGCTCACTGACCTAGTCATGCATTTCGCTTCCTCTACAGACCAAATAGTTTAAAATACAGCAGTTTCCAAGGCTTTATGGCCTTCCGACCAATCTCACAACATAACTCTTGATTGCTGGTGGGTGCTCTGGTTGCTGCAGTCCCAGCAACGACGCAACATGCCAGGAAGTCTTGCAAAAACCCAGCTGCATGTTTCTGCCACTTGGTTAAATAAACAGACATCCTTTCTGAACAGAGCCACAACTTAGGTGTGGGTGAGGGGATAAGTGTACACTTCACACCAGTGAAGCTCTTAACACCACTCATCAGCCCCTGAGAACTAAGAAACAATTCTGGGTCCCAGGCAGAGCAACCTGTGCTAACAGCTGTAGAAAGTGAGAAGCTACGTGACCTGAGGCCACACTCATTCATAAAGACATGGGAAATGTGGGTGTGTTTTTCTTTATTCTGTTCCTTACATGGCCGTGTTTCCATCCCAGTGCTGAAGAACAGAGGGCCACAACAAAGAGGCTGTGTGTGGTGTGATCCATGTCTTGCCAGTGTCAACATTAAAGCTCCTCAAGGACTTGACCACTGAAAACAAAGAAATGAATGAGCGCATACTGTGATCTGCAGAGACACAATTAACAGGCTCCTGAGCCTGCTCTCCCTGAACCCTGCCCACCAGGGCAGCAGAGGCAGTTGGCAGAGGGAGATGCCAAGCTATGGAAATCTCATTGATTTAGATTAACGAAGCATTTTCTGTCCCAGCCTACTGAAAAATAAGATAATGCCAGTCCTGTTGTTCTGTGATGGAAGTCCATCTTGGACATCACAGAACATTCGGACTAGCTGAAGCTCACAAACCTGGGGTTTCCTCCTGCGAGGAAACAAAACCCCAGGGCTTGTGCAGTTGTTCACTGCTGCTCACACCTCTGCCCTTGATTTCTCTAAGTGTGTCAACACCAGTAAACGCACAGGCTGGGGAGAGAAATATACCTGAATCTGGGTGACAGACTGAAAATGTTAAAAGGGAAAGCAAGCTACTATGGTGAGTTCTGTAAATTCAAGCACTGATCCATGCTGTATCACCAAACCTCTTGTCAATCACATGACAACTTTGAGAACTTCACATTAATCTCAGGAACAAGCCCAAGCGACTCCAATCATGCTCTGTTCCTGTTTGAAGCCAGAACTAAAGTACACAGCCTGAATTTTACAGATGACTGCAACCTAAAATCCTTGCTCTGGATGCCCGGACTCTGACTGCAGAAGCTGCAGGTTGAGCCTGCATTTAAACATGCAGTACCGCATTCTGAGTTTAATCCCTGATGTACTAACAAGAGGTCAAATTCTGTCCTTGTGTCCATCTAGAGTCTTTCCTGATTCTAATTTCACTCAGAATCAACTCCATGTCATTTCCCAGCCTGGCTCTGAAAGCACAGGTGAAAGAAGAAGTACCACAATTGGAGCAATGACATTAAACATGCAAATACTCTGAACTGATAGTCTTTGCTTCTGCTTCCTGACATGTCCTATACTTCAGGCACCCCTTTCAGAGCACAGACAGACCATCCTGGACTCCCACCTTGTTTTGCAAATCCCACTTCACCAGTCAGAAAGCTTAAATTAACCCAGAGATTCTCCAGCGTGTGTTTCCACTGGAAGAGAATCATCCCAACAATACCACACATTTACACAGGCTTCCAGCAAACCTCCTTTAAAACAAAACCAGAATTCTGGATACAACTAACAAGCAACCTGAAAGGTTCAACTGTCTTTGATATAAGGGGCAATTCTCAAGCAGGCAACAAAAAGAACCGATGGCCAGGGAGCTGACCTTACTGTTGGGAATATCCCTGTATTGCAATTGTGTGGTGTTTGGCCTGGAAACCAGAGGCTGCTCAACTCTGCATCAGCTCTGCTGCCGCCATCCTGCGAAGCTGAGTTACCTGAGCTTTTCACTCCAACTCCCTGCTCACTGGGGTTTCCAACACAGATGACCAAGAGGGTTTTAGCACTTTACTCATTGAAATTAAGTGCACTGGACTTAAGCTAAGAAAAAAAAAGAAAGGCATGCTGCCAATTAGCCAGCTATACAGACAAATTATCTATGGAGTTTAGATGCTCAGCACAGGTCTACTAGAGTCATTCTGAGAACATAACCGAGACCCACCAACTACCTCTTTCTGCTCTGCTGTTTTCATTGGTAAAACCCACAAATGCAAAAAAAACCCAAAACAAACTAGGTTGCTAGAGAAGAGCAATATTAAAGATCTGCAGAAGCTCACACGGACAAAAACGTCCAGCAATGATCCCAACTTAATTTTGCAAAAACCAAATGAAGAAACATCCAGATTTGAAAAAGCACCAGTAACTTCTGCAGGTATATCCATTAAAGATTTATGTATTTACAAAGCTAGGAGTTACTTCCCCTAATAACAAACAGGAGAACAAGGACATTAGCAGAAATAATACATCATCATACAACATGGAGAAGACAAGCCCAAATAATGAAAACAGTAGAGCATAAATCTTGATGTTAAGTCTAAAATCACAGCAAAGCAAGCTACAGAGAACTGTGATGGGCATCTCATTAAAAGAATAAAATTAATAACAATTTTTTCCCCAAACTAGAAGACTCAAGCTTGTCATGAAGTCTGTGAGGCGGTCAGGGCACAGAATTAATATTTAAAGGATAATATTCTTTCCATACAGGTGGAGTAGGTATAGAGTAGGTATTGAGTCTTTTGAAAAGGGCAACAGGCAAACAGAAACTTTATCATAGAATCAAACCAGTATTTCTTTGTGGAGCAGCTGGAAGAGTGGCCAGCAGCATCCCCAGTGCAGTTGTCCATTGCTTGAGGTAATGGAGTAGCGGTGTAAGGGTGTTGGCCTTTCTGGGGTAAGTAACTAAAGACTAATCCACAGCAGAAGGGTCCCCACAAGGCTATGGGACACAGTGATGTGGATACAGGCTCTGACTCAGGAAATGTTCCCTCTAATTCATACCTATGCTTTACTTTACATAAACTTATTCCCAAGCAAAAGTCTCTACATTTTCTTTCAGAAAACCCTACATGTTCTAGAGATCTTGTTAAGGAGATCAACAACCCAAAACCTGCTTAATCCAGGATGTATCTAAAATTATAATAGAAAGGAAAGAATATTAAGAAATGTCACCTACCTCCTATTCTAACCTACCAGCCACTTTTCTCCCACTAAAGATGACACATAAAACCCTCTCCACTCAAAAGTATGAATTGTAGAAAACCACATTGCAAACTAAGGACCTTCCACACAAGTTCAAACATCCTGAACTTTCTACATAAGAATAATTTCATTGGCTCACTTTAAGGGACCAATCTGAGTCTCCAGAAATTATTTCCAGACTAAGACTTTCATTTCCTAATATATAAAATAAATACAGAGATAAAACTCACTCATTAGGAAGAGTAGATATAGGAGCAACCTCATCGTTCCCAGCTTTAAGGTGAAGGAAGGAGTGGAGATACCAGGCAAAGGCTGCTCTCTTCCTCTGATGCTTCTCCAGATCTGCATGTCTCGCTGAGAAAAAGTGACTCTATTGTGGATTTCCTAACTGAGGTTTCAAGGCGTACACCAGTGACACTGTAATAAAACTTTAGATGCAAAGACCTGCTGAAAGGTAAACTTATGTTCCTGAAAGGCCATTTTTAGCAGTGGCTCCATTTCTGTCCAGCAATACTTCTAGAATACATAGCATCTGTCAGGAAAGGCTGTGAGGGTCTATGTTTGTACTGGCCACCTTGTCCTTTGGTGCCTGCTACACAGATGTGCTGCATCACACCGCAATGTGCAAATTGTCTCACGTGAACTCACAGCAGGGATTTAAGAGAGATGTCAGCTCTCAAATGCCCTTCATAGAAATTTTTTAATGCAAGAGATCCCCCCATGCACACACACACGCAGAGCACTTGGTGTTTCCCTTTTATTTTGTACATTGTTGGTGTCATTTTATGGCTTTGACATTTTATGGCAGGATGCCCAGGGTACTTCAAGGGATTCTGCACGTCTCTTCTCCCCTCTACCAACAACTCTTTGTTTTCTGCTGAGCCCTTGGTTCTCTGTACTGCTCACCCTCGGCTCGACCAGACTCACACAGAATTACTCCCACATAGTTTCTACTATCAGAGCTCTGTGTATTACTCAGATGCAGTGTGTTGTTATTACACGTGCTAAACGAGCTGAAGTAGCAAATGCTGAGGAATCAGAAGAATCAACTAACTGCATGGCAAATCCTTTAGGGGCGGGGAAGGAGAAAGCCATTTCAGAGACAGATCTCTTTGCCCAGAAACTGTAAATTTCCCAAACATTCTCAGAAAAGAGTGCAACAAATCATACAGACACTTTCTAGCTACCTCCATCTCTCTTCCTCCAAGGACTCCCTGTGTTTAACATTTGACCACCACTCTCACAGTCCATAAATGCTGTAGCACTCCACATCTCATGGATCTGAACTGAAAGCAAGTGCTCTTTGCACTCAGATTTTGGTAACAGTTAGGTGCCAGCTGTGAAGCACGTGCACTTGCTTTCCTGAAGCTTTACCAAGTCCTGTCTGGCCCCACTTTTATTCACGCTGCTGAAGCAGATGTGAGGTTGTGAAGTGGAACAGTTTTCTTTTGAAATGCCTTTTTTTTCTTTTTTCCCCCATTTTATTTTCTTTTTAGTCATTTAACAAATTAAAGTTCTTAAACAGAGCAAAGAAGAAAAAAGCTGATAGCTAGCCACAGGAACACTCCAGCTGAGAAATGTGCCAGCTGCATCGCTTCAGAAATAGCTCTTTGCAGCTTATGCAGACTTACATAAAGCATCTGCTCTTTGTCTGAGCCTTTTCGCTTGTCACATTTCAAAGACTTCTCTTGCTAGCTACAGAGGCAACGGAAAGTATGCTCATTTGCAAGTGGGGTCATGAAGAGATGAAAAGACAGGATTCAACTGAGGCACAGATATAGCTCCCCATACTGGCTTCAGCTTCAGAGCATTGAAAAAAGCAGGGGGAAAAAACAACCATAAAACAAAATGTACAAAGCATTTGAGGAACAAGAAAGTCTTGCTTCCACCTATAGCCCTGAGGAAAATGGCTTTATAGGGAATTGGGAACTATACAAACCAGATGTGAAGCAGTGAGACAGATCACTGCATTGGGAAGTATTTGGAGCTTAGTAGTGAGGCCATAGAGAGCAATGACCACACAAAGTGTGCTCAAGTAGAGGAGGAGGAATTTGGAAGCAACAAGATCTGGATTCATCTCCCAACCCTGGCAGGAGCCAAGCAACTTTGACCAAATTAATTAGGAGAGGGTTTGAGCATCCATAGCCCTGCATGAAAAGTCATGAGAACTGCTGGTGACTTCTTCATAGCATGGCTGGGACTTCAGGGTCTCCATGGCTCATACATCCTAAGCAGTCAGAGAAGAGAAACTGCAGCTATTCCTTCACTGATGTTTATGAAAGGTTTCTGTTTTCTCAGAAGACAGCCCTGCAAAGCCTCCCCATTTGCAAAGGGATGGGTTCACATGCAGGTGGGTTTACCTGTCACAAGAGATAGAAGGGAGGGAACAGTTCACCTATTGATAATTTCTTGTGTAAATGACTGTTTTCTTGCAAAACATTATGACCTATTAAGAATGCATCCCAAAATTCTGTTGGGCCTTCAAAGCTATGAGTCAGCTTGTAAGTCCTTCCTCTTGCAAGGAACTGCAGATATCCCTCAAAATAAACCCCAGACAGCCTTCCTGTTTTTAACGTGACCAAAATGGGAAGTGGCTCAGAAGGTGAAACCAAAAAGGAGCCTTGTGCATTAAAGAAAGCTGGGAGGTTATTGATATTAATCTCAATAAGGCTAACTCACTTCTCACTGCAGAGAGGTTATAACTCCTCAGAAATCTCCTTTTTTTCCCACAGCACATCAAGAACTGTACGGCAGCCTGGGCACTGCTAAATCTTCTGACCAACCTGATCTACCTGTTTGCTGCATGTGCCTATCTGGTGTCCATCATCATGAGCTTGAGAGGGATGAGACTGGTGGTCAGTGGTGTGACTGTGAAGCACAAGGAGTGCTAGGGCCCTGTTTCAGAGCAGACACCAGATGTTTAAGAACATTTTTGATGCAGAGCTAAAGATAAACTAACATTTTAAATCCCTTAAGAAAAGGATTTGGAGAAGCAGTCTCAAGGAATGGCTGAAGAGGCAGGTTATCTTGAAAGCAAGCTGTCACAGCTCATAGCTATCAAAACCACTGCCAGTAAGCAAGACTTCTCTTTATTAAGACTCCAGGCAGGGATGGCAGATCTGATTCTGCATTCGTTGAGAATCTCAAAGTGTCCCTTGCACAGCACAGCATCAAGCACAGCAATAGATCACTATATGCCAGATGATCCTTTTGTGCAATATGAGCACCTTGCCAAATCTTGGGAACATTTAGGACAAAGCCATAGATGGAAAAAGCTGCTGAAGGCTTCACAAAGCAAGACAGCAGAAGCTGGAGTGAGAAAAGTTAGTTACAGTTCAGAGACCCAATGCAGTGAAGCTGCAAAGGGAATTGCCCAGCACAGGGAAAGTATCCATTTGAAGTGACAGGAAATAAGTTTTTAAAGCAACGCTTTTGCTGCCAGTCACAGGCAAGTAGTAAGCAACGGGATTAAGATGAATGCCTCCAAAAGACAAACCTCCTAGCTTCACTTGCTCAGAGTAGAAATGAAGGACAGGAGATCTACAGTTGTGTAGTTTATCTTACTGAAGGAAAGGTTTTGCCAACATTTGTAGCCTGCAGCTTTTCCAGGGTTATCATGAGCCATTGCCTGTATGAAAGGTGCATCCAATGCAACATCAGCTGTGACATTTACAGATGTGGCTGTGTAAACTGACATAAAGTCCTGAAAAAAGTCACTAACTCGTGTGGCAGTGTGTTCAGCACAGTTCTGGGTGACATGGCGTTAGGAATTTTATAAGGCCTTATAGTCACATCTCTTCCTTTCTGAGAGAGGCTGAAGCTCTGAAAGTATGCTCAAAGATGAACATTTTCAATGAAGTACACTTGCTATATTGACACTTTACAGAAATACTCATGTTATTATTTTTAAATAAAGGCTGAAAGTGAGACTGCTCATTTTTACCTCTTTCACAGAGTCCAAATTACACTGCTCATCCTGCCTGAGGCAGTGTGCACATTACAAAAAGCAATGAAGTCCTTGTAATCATTTACAGCAAGACAGGATGCTCACTAAGACTGACAGAAAACGTTAACCACATGAAGCATTGTGGGCTATCTGTCTCTCAGAAGCCATGTGCAGGATTCTGCTGCTGTTTTCTACAGACACAAAGCAACCTGTGTAAGACAGATATTTCAGAAATTCCCCATGTGAAGTTACAGGCTCAGGAAATCCACATCACTATTGTGCTCTTAAGCAAGTGTGCACATCGTGCAAACAACTTCATTATAATACTGTAAAATGGGAGCTCTGATATGGGCTACACACTGAGCACTGCAGGCACTGACACAAAGACTCAGTAGAGCTTTTTGATGACTGAAGAGTATTTGTCCACTCATGTCTCATATCGACAGTGTTCTGCACAGAAGCTAATCCCATCCTTAGCAACTTTTTATGACTCTACAACAGTCTTTATTCCAAAGCACTTCAGGGCAGTCTCTTGTGACAAAAGAATAACAGTTGACCCGTTCTTAGATCAGTCACTTCATCCTCTGCTTCTCTGTGGCAAGCAGCATTATGTCTATACAGCTCAGAAAGGGCTGCCTCCCACAGACCACACCCACTGCCCTGTGATCTTGCTCTTGCACCATTAGACATAGTAATAAGAAAGTGCCAGGCAAAGAACGTTGAGTAAAAATACTATCTTCAGAGGAAATTAATGATTAAAGTGCATGAAAATACTTAAAGCCACAGGCTGAACCACAGTCTTCAATTAAATGCACTTTAATACTGACAATGTCTTTAATTTTTCCAGGTGCCAGAGGAAGAACTGCTCCTTTGAGGGTGGAAGCAAGTTTGCAATCCAGAAAACCTCCTAAGGATTCCTGGTTTGTCCCTCTAGAGGCATCATCTCAGTTGCTGACATCTGGGGCTGCAATAGTGACTGCTCCTCTGAACCACCTGGTCTCAGCTGTTTCTGTGGCGTCCGTTTCCATGATCTTGTCTCTATAGCAGGAGACATAAAAACAGCAGCCCTTTGTCAGCAGGAGGCTGACAAAGGGATCCAGTTTTTAGAAGGGTGCAGGTTTAGGGAAATCCCAACATACATGAGATAATATTTTAAGTGTTGCAACATCCCCAGTCCTAGAAAGCTGGCATCTAGGCAGAACCTATGCTGGAAGAATAGGAGGCTGTATTTCAATCCAGTGGAGCTTCTGACCAAGCTCTCTGCCAGGCTGAAGAAAGTTTCTAGAGAGTAACAGCTCATCATTTCCCACACAGAGCTGCTTCCCAGGCTTAACAAAGGACAGAAACTTAATTATCTTTGGCAGAATTAGCCAAAGTTGCCAGTAGTAATGCCCTGATCTGTGCTCTAAAAGCCCTATAGTTTTTAACATTTGCACTAGGAATGGGCCTAAATTTTACCTTAGAGAAAGCATCATCTATTTAGGCTACTGAGTGAAAGGCAAGAACAACCCTCGCTTTTCTCAGCAGCATTTCGTGCCCATTTCTATCAGAGGTAAGGAGGAATGGCATCTCCTTCATCCTCATTATTTGTTCCCAAACTCTGACTAGGTGCATACCTACTCTAATTCTTTATTTTCTCAGCTCACAAGTGATGATGCTGCTGCTACTGAGGGATGCTGTGTGGAAGCAATTTCATGAGCAAGCCTGAAGTTTGTGTTACCAAAGACTTAATAACATGCCATGCCATGCTCAGCACAGGAAGCTAAAAAGATACGGAAGATCTTTCTTCATTATTTATTTTACCTTCTGGGTTTATTTCTGAATCATTGGTGTTGCCAGGGTCTTCCTTAAGAACTCCCACATCCTTTGCCCAATCAGTCCATTTAATTTCCTCTACTCTGGAGAGACAAAATACAACAGAAACTGATACATGGAACACAGCATTTCAACCCAGATCTCATTGTCCCACAGCATTCGAACCCAGCTCATCCTGGCAACACAATCCTAATGGTTTAGCTGTAACAACAATGCCCTACAGAGCTTTTCTTTGAGTAAAAGTCTTCTGTAGTCTAAGTCCACGAGGTCAGTATGTTCTCCCCGTGCACACTGTGTGCTGGTTTATGTTGTTTGGTTTAAAATACTCCAGTTCCTCACATGGAACATGCTTAATACAAAGGATGCTCCAAGGTTCCACTTTCTATACATGCTCTGTAACACACTGAAGTTACTCAAGTGCTTCCTGCAGTTCTTTTCACTGGGTGGAGAAAGTTCATCTGCTCTCCTAGCCCCTCTATGTGAGGAAGAGTGCTGCCCTCTCCTGTTGCACTCCAATTGCATGTTCCTGAGTGAAGTGGCAACCAGCCTGCATCCCTCTCACCACACCCTGCTCTACAGCTATACTCACAGCAATAAAGAAAGCATCATTGCAACACTCTGCCACCAGAAATGTTTGCACGGGTGTGGGTTAAACAAGACATCTTTGGGTGACAGCATAGGTTGGTGGTTCAACTGGCTCTCAAACTTCCACCAACCAAATTGTACCCAGGAACATGTGGTTGAGGCACTCTGTTGAATCACTGCTGAAATTCCCTGTGGTGGTTCAGGGTTATTCATGGCTTATGAATCATGAGAACCTGTTACAAGGCTCTAATGGTCATCTGTCTTACCTGAAGCACCACCTTTCATCTTTCTTATTGAGGCCCACTGACATGAAGCAGCCAGATCTCCTTTTCCCACCTTGGCGCCACAGCCAGGCCTTCTCTATCTCTAGAATAGCAATAGCCCTCTGAAAGAAGAGGTCATGTCAGAGAGAAAACAGATCATACAGAGCCCAACCCCACTTTTCGATTTAATCTTTCCCAATCAGCAATTAGTTTGACTCAGAAAATCACTTTGGAACCCAACCCCAAAGTGTCCTTAGATTAATAGTGCCAGTCACTCTCTCAAGTTTTTTATGCATGTGGATCTGGCCTGGCTGGTAGCCAACCAAAAAAGCAAGAGTTTTAAATACATCTGAAAATGACAGGATTTAGTTCACAGCTGAGGCTTAGGACAAAGACAGGCACAGTCACCTCTGATGTTATGAGACTCAAGTAGGAGTCTAGGCCATGACATAACTGCTAAGCAGCACCATGCCTCACCTGCAGCTTCCAGACGCTTTTGCTGTAACTAGAAATATCTGTGACAGTCTCACTCATGAGAGCAATCAGCATGTTGAGCAGAAGAACGTAAGTGATGATCACAAAAAGAAGCAGCAGGAGCATGACAAAGTATCTGAATCTGGCATGTTCCTGAAAATCCAGGTCTCCCATCCCAATGGTGATCTTGAAGAGCTCCAGGGAGACACTAAGCAGCCCACCGTACATAGCATGGTTCCCAGTGCTCTCCAAATGAGCAAGAGATTTGTTCTGAGACACCGAAGGAGCATCCCCCATCAGTGTAACCAGAGCTAGGAGAAAAACAGGATTAGAAACCTCTTTATAAAAGTGTATTTATTGCAGCCCAGACTACATAACACTGAGCAAGTCCTTACCTGCAGCAAAGCCAAAGAGGAAGATCATATAAACTAAGAGGAAACGCAGCAGATCTCTCAGAATAGTCTGAAACACAAATCAGGAGGAAGCACCATTCTTTATCTCACATGAAATCCCATGGATGATCTCCTGCTCTCACACATCATAAACCAACCCCCAGTAACAATATGTTTAAGAAACTACTAATATGTATTACTTCCTCAAGTAAGTAACATCATTGGTAGCTTAATCTGACTGTACTACATGAACTTATTTGTTGTTTCTAAGAACCTATTCACACAAACATAAGAAATATGTCAGTTCCCCAGTATGGCTGCTTCTGAATTGTTTTAACACACACATCTTTTTCCATCCCCATGGTGTTTCACACAAGTGGTGATCAGAATTCTTCCCTGGTACCGCATTTCACCTCTGCTTTGTCTTGTCTTTCTAGTCCCATTCTCCTCTATGGACCTGGAAACATTTCTCAGCCCAGCCCATTCCAAGCAACTTGCACTAGTTTTGACTGCTAGTTTTGAGTTGTCTTATGGCAAACAGGGAAACGTCAGCTGCTGCCACTTCCTAAATTCAAAGATAGCAAATTAACAGTTTGCTGAAAATGTACTTCCTTGAAGACATTGATCTAATCTCCTTGTGCAATATCTTTACTTCCACAGTCAGTATATTAATCCTATTTATGATTTTCATGGTCCTGAGAGAAAAAGTGATTGCAGGACTTCTATTAGTTGCTCACACCCAAAAGCTTTTCATACAAAGCTTTTTACTGAGTACTGACCTTCTGGATCATGACACTGTAGATGCCAGTGCGCTGAAAGCCCCGAGTGTAATACAGCATGTTCACCCATCCCAGAAGCAGGGAGAACACCATCACTGCCACATAGTTTTCTGAACTTGCACCATAAAGGACTGCTGAGAGCAGCAATGAGAAGGCCTGGATGAAGCTGGAGAGAAATAGAATGAGTGACACAGTGACTTACTTCAACAAAAAGGCCCGTTTGCAGATCTGTTCTGTTTTGAAAGGAAAAGCAAACACATTTTACAAGGCTACATGGAACATATAAAGTGGCAGTTAATCAGACACATAGTTTATATAAGCAAATCCTGTTATAACCCAACCCACAAGCTGCTGCAGTTTTGTTATGAACTGGTTAATCTCGCAGTATGGAAACTCTGAACTGCTTAATGTAACTCACATAACTGATATTAAGTGGAAAAAAATATAACGCTTATGAACACATGCACACATACATGCACACACATGCATCTACACACATTTCTCCTCAGAAAACTGAGGAGTTATTTTCCTTTCAGTCAACTCTGAGCCACAGTGACAGCATGATAGAGAACTTCAGCTCTTTGTCTAAGAAGTGTATGTTCTTATTTGTGGAATAATTGAGGGTCTGACCTACACTGTGTTCCACTACAAATCTAAGGACAGAACATACCCAGCAAAGTCCATTACAACAAAAGGTTATGACAAGATGCTGCAAGTAGAAGCAAGCAGGGAAGGGCTCACCATCTCTCTAGAAATGTTAAGGCAACTTAGCTGCACACAGCAGAGCACCAATTTCACCCATGCTTTCACTGTGCAAAAAACCTCAAGAGACATACATCAAGATCTCAATGCAGCTGTCAGAACACATAGTCTTCAGGGACTGGCGTCTCCTCCGCAAGTACAGACTCTAGCAGAGAAAAATCAATGGTAGCCATTCATCAAAAAACAGGGCATGCTAGAGAGTGATTCCTGCCCAGCATAGCCTATTGCTCAGGGGCAAGGTTTGTTCCACAAGCTCCTCTTCATGCTTTCATTTTCAAAATCCCAAATTTCACCTATTTATCCTTCCAAGATGAAAGGCCTTCTTTATAAAGCGTATGGATAAACAAGGGCTGAATCATGGCTCAGCCCAATGTCTTTATTAATAGACTGCACTAAATGCCAAGGATGAATTTTAGTACTATAAATCACAGAAGTCTCTCATAATTATTTGCTATTGTGAACTTATTCTTCCTCTTGCCCAGCAACCTGGCTTGTGCCACCCCTGTCACTACTAGATTGCACTGACACTGTGTCTTGGAGCAGGATTCCCTCCTGCCATCCACTCATGCACACCCTCATATCAGGAGAACTGAGTCTGTTGCCTTCATGTCAGCGACAGTTTCTTTTTTTTCCTTTCTTACAATGGAACTAAACACAAGACCCCCATACCTGAGCAAAGATTAGATAAATGCCTCCTAGCAAGATAATGATGAGTCCAGAGACCCACAGGAAGCCTCCAGCCGTGAATTCCACTGGAAAGGAAGGCTGCAGGATAAAAACAAAACAAAAACCCACTGAAGAAGGCAGAGGTAGTGATGATAACCACCCAGCACCTTTTAAACTCATCCAATCAGGCCTTTCTAGATAAAAGAAGATTGGACCTACCTTTACCCGTAGGGGTTGGTAGTACGCAATGGCTGTAAAGATGATCATGAATGACAAGTATGAGACAAAACTGAAGTAGAATCTCTTGGAAGCAAATGTTTCCCATTTTTGCTGAAGCAGTTTGTTCAGTGGCTCCAAAACCACCATCTTGTACCGATTCTATGGAAAAATAAACAAAAACGTACTCATGTGTCAACAGGAATGCAAATTCACCAGAGGATTGTCTTTTTCTGGTTTAGAGGTCAGTGGCTCCAACTAGGGAATTGCTAAGGGTTTATTCAGTCAAGCCTTTCAGTACGAAAGAAATCAACCACCCCGTAAGAAGTTACTTTTGCTCGGCTTTATCAAGGTATTTGGACACATCCAGGCTTACGACAACCAAAGGCTCAAGAATTTCTCTCATATTATAGATGACCAGAGGTATACCAGGCAGACTATAAATAATAAAATGTGCCAATACTTGCAGCATGTATTTCTTTTCCAGAAAAACGACCATGTAAAACACCACATTAACTTGAAATGATTTGCATAATACAACAGCAACACTATAGAAAGGCAGAAAAGATTTTGCTGCCTTTCAGTCAAAGGACTCACCGGTGTGTCACTGCTGTATGCCAGAATCTCTAGCACAGAGTTCTCCTCGAAGCTGTCTATAGAGGACAAGTCATAGAGACACACATGGATAGGCCCATAGGTCCATTCAGTGAACTTGCGTGACAAGTGCCTGTACACTGGGTCTTTGATCTCTCTTTGGATAATGTGTTTGAAGATCTATAGAGAAACCAGATGCATATATATGTATGCAATGAAGGTGTAGAATGACACAAGAATACCCAAATCACCTTCAAAATACATGACACCTGGCTTTCTGCAGCATATGCTTTGATATACCCAAAAACAGATTATCAAGCTAAAAGCAGGCATTCATCTAACTACCCCTTGTATCAACTCCTCCAGAAGTAGAACCAATTTCAGTCCAGACCAGCTGCCTTCACTGGGACAGAGAGCAGCAGCAGCCAGCTCAGACTCTGTAGGACATTAAGTGCAGTAGCCAGGAGGAAGCCTCCTTTATTGTCTCCTGTGGCACTGCCACTGTCATCATCATACTACAGGTTGGGTGCAAGATGCTCCTACATCAAGCCCTAAGCTGAGGAAGTATACTACAGTTTTCCTTGTTTCTCAGCCACCCCAGGGTTCCCCTCTGTCTTTACCTCCACTTTGCCTGTCTTGGCAGCAAGCTGCAGAGGATTTAATCCATCATAATTCACAATCTCCTCCAGCTTCGACATTGGGTCAATCTTCACACCTGCCTTCAAGATCTCAACGTACGTTGTGCTCACAAACTTGGTGTTCTCCTCAGTGTCATCTGCAATCATCACCAGGGCATGGAGGACTGTGTTGCCCTGCGTGTCCTGCTCCTGGAGCCTGGCTTTCTGGTGGGGATTGTTTAGAAGATATGCCACAACCTCAGGCTGGTTGGTACAAGCAGCCAAGGACAGGGGAAGTTCACCTGAAGAGATGAAGACAGTATTTGAATGGGAAGCAGAAACAGGTGAAAAAGAATTAAAGAAAAATAAAAGCAATTCCAGGAAAATATATATAGTCTGTAGATTTACCACTGGAACACAGAATAAGTTCTTCCTCTAGATTCAGAAAGGGTTTTGCAGTAAATTACTCCTTATTTCTGGGGGCAGCTGAAGCACTTTCCCAGACCCCTAATTTGGTTAAACTAACCAAGAGCTGGTTTCTGTCTGAGGCTCCTCAGATGGGATTAAAACACACAAAACCAAAGATGATGCCAAATGCTCATTGGACACCTCAGTCTGTGAAAGGATCCTGCCATTCAACTCAAGACCTTGAATACGGGACAGTGGAGATGCCAACCCATGCATAGAGGGGCAAAGCCAAGTGAGAATTAGTGACATTGCATACAGTAAGGCAATATAAAAAGCAAAGGGACATGTTCCACAGTGACTCACCAAAATAAAAGTAAACTCCTTCTTTCTTTTTCTTGAAGAATTCACCGTGGGCTCTGGCATGGACATCAGCTCCGTTCTCTACTAGAAGCTTCACTAAATCTAGGCTCCTTTTCTCTATGGCAATATGGAGTGCTGTCTGACCTAAAGAAACAGGCAAAACTCACCAGTCAGTGCCACTATAAGAGGGAACAGGCAAAGGAATCTTCAGCAAAGTGCTATTTCAACAATCACTGTGCTCTGCACAGCAATCCTACAGCCTCAGTGCTGGGCAGGGGGTGGGTGCCAATTGATGACTTTCAACAGCATTCATTGGAAAAGAACATTGCAAACACTGAGTCAGAAGACAACCCTCAAGACAGTCATAAATTCAGCACAAGACCAGACAACTGCCCCTGCCTGGCACTAAAATCCCAAGCAGCCATGAAAAGATAAAGATAATCATACACATACATAACTACGCTGCATGCCTGCTATTACAAGAATAGCCCAAACAGCAAAAACTCATACTTTAATAGTGATATACTATTTCTTTTTTCCCTTTAGACATGCTTTTTAAACTTTCCCAAGCATATCCTCTCATATTCTCGGGTTATATCATTCATTTTATAGACCAAAAAAGAAGTTACAGAAGTGTATAATTCAAAGCTGAAGAAGATGCAGTACCAGAATCAGAAATATAAGGTGAGTGGGCTGTTAGTGTAACTGCACCAGAATTCTGGAACTGCAGTGCTGCATAAGCTCCAGTTCTTTTTCCTTGTATCTGCACCCCTTACCCAGGTAACGAAAAAGGTGCTCTGATACGGCACGAGAACAGAACCCTTACCTCTGTAGTAACAGTCAGAGCATGCCACATTGACAAGTGGCCTGGGATTGTGTGTATTTTGATCTATTTCCAGCAAACGTGGGATTGTGTCATTCTTTCCATTTTTTAAGTTCAACAGGGCTTTCATTAAGCAGGTCTTCCCAGTATTTGCATCTAGTAGAAAAAGAGAACTGAATGGGTTGTGCACGTGCTTTACACACATCTCTATTACTTGATTCAGAACTTAACTCTCACTGTAGGACCAAATAATTATTCTAAAGGCCTTTCTTAGTATTTTTAGTCTGGAGTAGAGGCAAAAGCCTTAAGATATATATAGTTAATGGTATTCTCCATCCTCAGGTGAGCGTTAGGAAAATAGAAGTATGGACGGAGGGCTGAAGAAAGCAAAGAACCACGAGCAGGTTCCCCTGCCTTCCCCCTTGCATTGAGAAGCACTGCCTCTGCTAACCCTAGTTATGGAGTACTGAGCAGGACTCTACCTGTGTATTCAGAATCGGTGAGAAATTTGGAGGTCCTCCTTAAGTACTCAAGTAAACCGTCCAGTGCCTCGGGGCTGCCCCCTGAGACGGCGCTGAAGAGCCTGCCTCTGTCAAAGCGATTTGGGTCCTTTTGGCTATGGAAGAAATGCAGTGTTAGGAAGTTTTGGAGAGCACAAGACAAGAGTGTGCAGTAAGGTCTAGAGAGATGGTGTAAGAAAGGAGAGAAGCAGAAAAGTTTGTCAGAAAAAAACAACTATTTTATTTTTAAGTCAAGGGAAAAATAGAGACAGTTCTTTCCCAGAATTCTCTTAAGTGGCTGCTCCTTCCATCAGCTGGAGCTTTTCCCAGATCCAGTCTGATGTGCAACCCTGGAATACACCCAGAGCATAGACAGAGACGCCCAAGATAGCTGCAGGACCAGAGTCAGTCCCATCATACAGTGCAAAACACTCTGTGAACTGGTTTACATCCCTCTGTGGCAAGTATAGGGCTCCATGCTAAGATGCTCTTACACCCAACTCGGCTTATTTAGTGTTAGTTCAGATTTACACAAAATACACAACATACACCCTATCTCCCAAGGGCAGAAGGGCTAATATGTCCCCTTTCTTCTTTTAACTACCTCCCACCAGATGCCTGTAATACTTCTACACTGCCACTTTTAGTTTAGACTTTGTGAAGCCTATAGGCCCCCAGCAGCAGGGATCAGTACAGATAAGGAAGGACTGCACCCTTGTCAAATACCCAACAGTTACTCACTTGCTACCCAGTCCTGGCCGATAGTTCAGATTAACCTTGATTTTAGGAGGAAAGTTACTGCTTTCCTCCTGATACGGTGTTTCCAAGGGTCGTTGCTCTCTCTTTCCAGGTCCTGATCTTTCTTCCTTTTTACCAGGTGCACGTTTATCTTCTGGGGTACTGTCATCTGTTTCTAGCAATCCCATCAGCCTGTTCCTCTGACCTGGGCCTGGCTGCCCACTTGTGAAGTTATCCATTTCTAAGAGAGATGGTCTTTCAGATCACCAAAGATGTTCTGCGCTAGGAGACTAAACCTGCAAGGGAGAGGGAGAATTGACATCATTTGTTCACAAACCTATAATGTGTTTAACGCAGCACAGAGAGGAAAGCACGCTTCCAGGTCCAGCGTTCCGACAGTTGACTATGGGACCCTTGAGAGAGAGACTCAGTAAAACTGTGCACAGTGGGAGCATTTGAATAAATACAAGGCCTTAGATAGGGTACCGCTGGAAAAGAAGTGCACAAGCAGTTCATGAAATACAAGCAACTGGTCTGCAGAACATCTGAACCCCCTTTGTGAGATGACCTCACCTGCTGGCAGCAGCACAGGTTCCTTACTTAAAAGGCAAAGAAAGTGGATCTTCAGGAGACTATAGTCATTGTTCTTGTCTCAGTGCAGCCAACAGAGGCTAGTCACCAAGTGGCCAAAAAGATAAGATTAACTGTAGGCCTCCTTTGCAAGTGAGTGGGAAGTTTGTTCATGTTCTTTGTTAGTAAGCATTACGCTGTTTCTACATGGAAAACATACAAGCAAATTACGTTCCCCTCAGGCATTCTTATTTTTCATCCTTGGGCAAAAGGAGTGGGATCTTCCCAGTGTTTGGATCTGCTGCCTATCCATTTGAGCACAGGGCTTGAACCTGAGCCCCACACCACAGGCGGACGCACAGACGAGCTGCCAGGGGAACACTCAAGACCCTTAGAGCCTGCACAGAGCACAGGTTTCCCAACAATAAAGCTGGATCTGGATCTGCTCCACAGAGAGCATCAGTATTCATCAGAGCATCCAGCCAGCCCACTTTATTAAGTATGTCCTGTACTCCTTTTTTACTCTTTTGAGACATCTCTTCATATGCATCTGGATACATCTCAGATCCACACCCAATGCAAGCTATCTGTCGTCAGCATACGACTCCAGTTTCACCCAGTTTGTGAGGCAGCAAGGTAATCCACGATTACAAACCTGAAGCAAAGCTTTATTTAATAATTCCATCTTATTCACATGTACTCCCTCCAAATGGTTAACAGGTTTTCCCTGAAGCAAAATCGCCTTTGCTGGGACTACAGCCAGACTCCATAGCCTGTACCGTCAAAGAGGTAAATTGACATACATAAGAAAGCATAGGCATTATGCCTTTGATTAGGATATGAAGAAACATAGTTCTAGGCAGCAAACGGCCACAAAACATCTCCATGCAGCTCACAGCAGGAAATCCAAGGGCTGATTTCAAGACAAACCATTATGATAATTCAGCCATTCAGTTTAGTCTGCGCTCTAATGACAAACATTCCTCTGGACACACAGGCATACACCCTATAGCACCCTTTCAGACTCGTTTCCTCCCCCAAAACACTTACTGGCATATTTGCTGATCCTTTACAGAGCTATTTGTACTTTCATAATAGTTTGCTTGTGCTTTTCTGTCTTCCTTTCCACAAAATCATTTCTCAGCTGCAGTTTCCATCTCTCCACAGCACTGGAGAGAGTTGTACAGACAGACCGTCTGGTTTAAAAGAGAGAGCAAACGGTCCTATAAAAAAAGGACCCTATAATATATATATCCACTTTGTCCATTCCTAGAAAACAGAGACCACTCTCTGTTTGCCAGCTCAACTTTCACTTCTCTCCTCAAGAGCCGAGTTGTTTCTTTCCGTGACTCTGACAAGCCATTTTGAGTAGCGCAGCACAGAAAAGCCCGGCTGTCAAAAGAGGAAGAGCACAGCACTTACCCCAAGTTGCTGCAAGCTCCACCCAAGAACTGATCTGACAAGGAGTCCCAATGGATTCTTCAGAGGGTAAATAATCTGTCGGTATAAACCAAGCCAAATACCAACAAGTGTTAATTAGTGTGAAAGCAGACCCCAAGTTATTTACATCCATGGGTGAGAGTCCTCCTCCTCTGCAGAGATGACCACACTCATAATAGCAGCCTGTTAACAGTGCAGCGTTGAACTTCTAGATGGTGGTGGTCCATGAGAGAATCCAAGCTGTCTGTGAGAGGGAATAACCACGGATTATTGTTATTTACTCAACTGTATAGCTTTCTGCCAAGCAAAGGGCTTGCACAGGAAATGACTAGATAGATTTCTCAGTAAAAGAGAGAGCCAATGAGTGCAGTGCTCTTATATGGGAAAGCTGGCTGGCTATTGCAAATTCATAATGCTTAACCCATGCCTGCACGTATAGAGGCAGCATCTCAGGGCTTTCAACAATAGCCCACTCAGATCAGAAGGGAGGCAGCTGGTTTGATCCTGACAGTGCTAGAGCCCATGGTTTCATTGTGAGGTGTCACAAGGCTCCTTCAGTTAGCCCCAGGACAAGCAAGTAAGCAGCGAAACATCTGAGGTCAACTGCTCTGTGGGAAGCCAGTTCTCCTTGCACAACTTCACACAGCCCAGCTACGAGGTAGTGCAAATGGTATGAGACAATGAACTAGCCAGAACGTTACCGTACAAAGTACAGTGTCAGCTACCCATCACAGGCACAGGAAACTGCACAAAGCAGACTTAGTTTCCAGACACTTAGGCCACTGGTTTCTTCATTTGCCCTTAGTGCTTGTTGCCCTATGCAAAAGGAAATGAGCACTCCAAAAGAGCGAACATCTTGGTGAAGCTACTTCTAGGAGCACTGACCGGTCACTCCTATAACTGCCTGTCGCTGAGACCATGTACACACACCAGTACCACTTCACTTACCACTCACAAGACAGGACCCTGGGAAACAGAGGACATCAACCCACACCAAGTGTCTTAGTTTTTTCTCTTCCATTCCTAACACAACTGAGACCTCAGCATCAGTGCAGGATGACATTCAGCACCCACAGTCTCAACAGCCTTCCCCAGCACAGTGTTGCCGCAGAGTGGTTCTCATCTGTACTCCGTAGAGGACTGATGGTTTACAAAGGCATTTAATGGGATCTAAGGGTCATCTAGAGAACCTTATTAACTGCCAAAATAGTAAAGAGCTCTTCTAATCAATAGCTTGATAGTGGGGGCAGATTCCATAAGAAATCTCAAAACTTTAATTACCATTGGTCCAAAAACATTGAGAAGGGGTGTCACATCATGACACGCTGAACTCTGGCTGTTGCTTTCTTCTTCCAAACCTACCATGAGCCGAAAGAGAGCCTAAAGCAGTCCTTGTCTGACGGGACTGCAGGATGATGTGACACTTCCTGCAATGTGGTCCTTACCCATAGAAACATTCCCAGATGGCTTCTACTTTGAGTCAGATACAGGCTGTGAGAAGACCTTCCTATAAATACACCCATTAAATGGCAGGGTGCCTTTTCCTCTTTCATGGTTTTGCACGAGATCACAAGCTTATTTCTGAGATTCCTGTGTTTTAAAATTAAGCTGATCCAGGACCAATGCAGAGCTACTTACTCTTTCCAGGTTTAATGACGTATTAGGACCCACAGAATAACCTACAAAGAACAAACATAGGCAGATAAATGCAAGGTCAGATCTCATCTCTCCCATCTCTCATTCCAGCTTTGCACTGATTTAGTTCAGTTTGGTTTAGCTGCGTTACACTTAATTTACTGTGATATCAACAGACATAGATTCAGACCCAGGAGTTTAGCTCAGACTTAAGAGTTTAAATCCCCTTGGACTTTTCCCCCAGCTTTCATGGGAGACAGCCCACTATTCCAGCCAAGAAATGAAATCAGCCCACAAAAGTTCATCATAACAGAGTTCTTTCTGCGCATCTGGTTTTAATAGCTTACACAGAGGAAGGAGAATGTGCAGATTGCTGGGAAAGGAATCACTGCCAGCTGAGGGGTCACCACAGCAAAACAAAACCATGGAGCTGCTGGGGAACACAGAAACACTGGTATGTGCACACACATGCGCACATGCTTCTGCAGAGTACGCTAGGGTAAAACACTTGTGCTCCCATTTCAGAGCAAGGCAGTGAAAAAGGACAAGATCTGCCCAAACATGCACTTGCCAGTGACAGCGTTCCGAGGTCTGTCATGGGATGACGACACTGCTGCACACCAGCCAGCTGAGCTGGTTGGAATGCTTAACAAGCATCTTGCCACCAAAACTTCAAGTCCTGAAAGCTGCTGGGACTCAGGAGGAAGCCATCCAAAGCAGCATGCAGGGAGAATAAAAGCAGCAAATTCATTTCACCTATCTGCCAACCTGAAGTTTGGAAAGCACCATGTGATCCTCTTGCCTTTTGAGGCTTTAATTTTGGGGAACAAGAAGGAATCCTGCACTTGCTCAGTACTTATTTTACTGATGCAAATGCATCTGATGGCACTAAGTTTCTCCTGACAAGGAGACACGTCGAAACCTTAAATCTGGGAAGAGAGAAGTCAAACTCTTAACTACTAAGTGAAACTTTAAGTCAAATCAGTAAATTCCATTTCATACTACTATAAAATATATTCATGATAAAATTATAGATGATATAAGATGAAACAGAGTAATTCATGGCAGGAGAAGTGATGACCAGAACCTGCTTAAGCAGAACTCAAAAGGAAGCATGAGGAAGATGGTGCTGTGAAAAGCTGGAACAAGCATATTTCCTGTAATATGTATTCTCTGCTCACCTAAGCGCCCATTTTTACCAAATACTAAAAAATCATCTTATGATTAATATCCTTTTTGGATGCTGTAAATAGAAGAACAAAGTCACTTACACGTGCCTGTAATTTAGTTACAGTATTCATCTGTAGCCACTCTGAGGAGCAGCAGCTCAAACTTACCTTTACAGGAGAAAGGTAAGCACGCTGTAGTATCAGCACACAAGGGTGGACCAAATTCTCTCCAAACCAACAGGTAGGGCAGTGCTTCACTCAAACCTCACGAAAGGCACATGGTTAATTAAAAAAGAAGAGTTTGTTTTAAAGTTGTACGTTCACACCTTGGAAAATACAGAGTCTTTTTTCATGCAACCCCATTCTGAAGGCATGAATTTTAGCAGCTCTCTTTGTTATAGCTACACAGATGGAAATGTGTATTTCTAGAGACACCAGCCAGTGCCCAATCAAATCCAAATATTCTTACATATAATTCCTTGTCAGAACCTGTCTGATGTCCCTGGGGACTGAATTCATTTACATGACAGTATTTCTGTAAATGCTAGTCTTACATCATAATATTTAAAGGTTCCTATCTATATATACTTCTCAGACCTTGAAGGAAACATCCACTTCTGTTATTCCTTACATGGAGATAGCTTTCTACTTGATGTATCCCTTTCTGTAGGATTATAGCCTGAAGAAATGCTCCCCTGACAATCAAATAGCAAAATAGGAAACCCAAGGGTAGTTACAAAACGCTTTTGTGGAGAAACAGTGACATCGAGTGGCCACCAAGGAAACCTGAATTCCTGCTGCTTATGAAAACACCCTCAGTACGAAATTCTTCAGAAATAGCGGGGCTGCAATCACATATTTGTGAGAATTACAGCCATTCACTTCTGTATCAAACGAGTTAACAGAAACTCGTCTAATTGAAAACCTCAAGTTCCAAATGAAACTGGTTTGGATGATGCAGCAGCATTCCGTAAATACAAAATCGTGCAGCCAAGGATCTTTGGACATAGCTGCTACACAATGCCTTTGGAACTGCAGACGAGACTGCAAACATACTGAGGTATTCCCAACGTTTATCTGCCTTAATCCCCACTTCTCCTACAGGACTACTTTTCAGGACAGTTGCTAACACAGCAAAACACTAAACATAACCAAATACCACTGTCACGGGGTTATCTCAGTTGTCTTCTTTGAAGTATGTTTTTAAGAGCACAGAAGACAAACCCCTTGAAATCTCCGGATTTTTTTTGGTTCAAGAGAGAACAGACTAGAAATTAGCTGAAGCTGTCAGAAAAAAAACCCCAAAGGCCAGTCATGAAGTTCACCTTGCAGTAGGATTACATGTTATTAGAACCTGCTGTTGGTGTGGGAGCAGGATTATTCCATTTAAATAGCATACAGATTCTGGCTAAAGCCTATCAAGTTCTTTAGTTATGAATAGTTGACTCTAAGCAGATCAAACTGAGGTACCACAGTTGTATCTTAACAACATCAGTCATTTACATTGCCTGATACCTCTTCCTGTGTCTTTTGCTCCTATCTTCTTCAGTGCAAACAATGCATGTTATGCACATTCGTATTTACATTTCCTTGTCATTTACATAATGTCCCTAATTCACATCATTTAAGATAAATTGCAAAGAATTTTCTTCATTAATGACAAAATCCCTTGCAGCCATCTCTCCAGCTAGTGACTGTGATCGCTCCATTAGCTAGGGGATCAGAAGTCTGGATAAAACAAGGAGCAGCAGAGCGCAAACCCAAGTGCCCCCACATCCTCACAGTGAGCTCAGCTCCACACTTCACCCAGGTAGTGCTGCAACACTACAGCTCTGGGGATTTCACTCCTTGTGCTTTAGCTTTATGGATGTGCCATTATGTGGCATTTTTAGTAAGCCAAATGCTAATTAACTTTGTGCACAAGCTTCACCTAAGGAAATCTTCCTACAGAGCTGGGGAAACAAGCACATGGGCACATCCAGTTTCACCCAACCGGCCAAAGCTCCTACACTGGCAATCTGCCACTTACAGACCTCTATCTGAAACAGGGCAAACTGTACCTGCAGCCTGTGTTACCCAACCAACCAGTCAGCATCTGTTACCACACAGATTAGCTTAATTATTACAACTTCAGAAAGGACATCTGTTAATTATAAGCCAGAGAAGATAAAGCAGCTAGTTGTACCATGGAGCTTAACAGCAGCAGAAAAAGATAAGCAATGTAAATTTATTCAGTGTTCTATCTCCTCTGGACAGGAGTTCGTGCACTGCTGAGTGGAGAACTGGGCTATCAGACACCCAGAGAGAATTGGGGAATGGTAAGGGGTCACAGGGACCTCTCGAGGACAACTCAGCCGGCTCCCCTACTTGACCAGTGTCACCTAGAGCTGGCTGCCCAGAACCACGGCCAGCCGACCTCGGAGGATCTCCATGGAATGAGTCTCCACAGCCTCCCTGGGCAGCCTGCCTAGGCAGCTGGACTGGAAAAAGCAGGAGCTGGATGTGTGCCTGAACAGCAAAAAGTATGAAATAACTAAGGCAAAACAGCAACTACAGGAAAACTCAATCTAAGTAAGGTATCTCGTATGGTAGAAAGAGCAGTTGGTTACAGAAATATTCAGGTTTATGCCGGCACAGCCAGGTATAGCAGGCAGGGAAGCAAATCCTACTATTGAGAAAAAAATCTAACTATTAAACCACAATGAGTTTTACTTACAACAAAACAACCAGTTTTACTGCAGCCTTCCAGAAATGAGTAGTGCAACTTCTTAGCCAGGATTGAATCCATGCCAAAAACACACTGCTAATGAGTGGCTTACTTACCACAGACACTGTGATGTTACACTGAAAGCTGACATTCAGGAGGAACAAACTTTCACAGCAAACCTACAATGGACAAAAAAACCCTCCAACCCCCAAACTACCAAGATAGTGCGTAATACCAGGTTATCAGTAAAAAGCCAGGTGTGCTGAAACAGTGTCCTGTGCACACAGCATATAGGTGCCAGGATTCCCATTGCAAGGTAAGCAGCTGTCAAAATTCAACAGACAGGCAGCCACCATGGGTACAACCTGGTAACACTCACGTGAATAGGCACATAGGTTAACAGACCCACCACTGCTCAGTGGAACCAAACCATTTAACCCCACCCCATTAAAACAAAATAACCACAATCCAGGCTTCAGTGAGAATTTCCCAGCTTTTGGCATTAAATGACTGTGTAGAAAACTTGTATTTGGCCCAAACCAGAAAGCTGTTACCCTGGCTCAGTAGTCATGTATTTCCATTAATTTCAGGCAGTTCACTAGACACAGTGCATGAAGACACCCTCCCACGTGCCCACTCCTACCCCACCAGCCACTCTCACCGCAGTTGGCACTTCCCCAGATCACATTCCATGCACATCAGCCAGACTACCACCCCACCCCATTTTGCACCTTCCAGAGGCTGCCACTGCAACAGGATTTTCCCCACTTAAATAAAATACAAAACTACTTGTATTTGCTCATGTACACCCCACCTCCAGTATGCATGCTGCAGCTCAAGTCTCCCCATAGCACTGTCAGGCAGTGCAGCTGCTCACACCACTACTGAAGACAATTTAAACACATTGCAAGTTCACAAGTTGCAGCAAAGCCCACCCCACTGCACTGACAAGCTCACCCTTGTATTTCGTGTGTGGCTTTCTGAGTCTTTTACCAAATTATCCTTCCTGGAAATTAACTACAGTAAAAAGAAACAACATTGTTTTAGTGCTTGAATTAAGACTTTAATCCAGATCTGCTTCATCCACAACAGCCTCATTAAGCATGCAAAGAGGCTTTAACTGCCATGGAAGAAAACCACGGTAAGCATGTCACTTAAATATACCGGTTTTACTAGCTTGAACTGAGACAGACTACAAGTTGTAATGTGCAACAGAAAACTTTATTAGCATTTCAGTTGTTCAGCAGATATTTCAGCTTGCTTTAACCCTGCATTTAACTTAAGACATTACAGAACTACAGTGCAAAGACATGTGCTACTGGCAAACCCATTGTTAAGGAAGGTGCACAATAACTTAACAGCCACCCCTCAGGCGCAGCACAAGATGGAGGGTGGATTCCTTCTGGATGTTGTAGTCGGACAGGGTGCGTCCATCTTCCAGCTGCTTGCCAGCAAAGATCAGCCTCTGCTGGTCAGGGGGAATGCCTTCTTTGTCCTGGATCTTGGCCTTCACATTCTCAATGGTGTCACTGGGCTCAACCTCCAGGGTGATGGTCTTGCCAGTCAGGGTCTTGACAAAGATCTGCATGCCACCTCGGAGACGCAGCACAAGATGGAGGGTGGATTCCTTCTGGATGTTGTAGTCAGACAGGGTACGACCATCTTCCAGCTGCTTGCCAGCAAAGATCAGCCTCTGCTGGTCAGGGGGAATGCCTTCTTTGTCCTGGATCTTGGCCTTCACATTCTCAATGGTGTCACTGGGCTCAACCTCCAGGGTGATGGTCTTGCCAGTCAAGGTCTTCACGAAGATCTGCATGCCACCTCTCAAGCGCAGCACAAGATGGAGGGTGGATTCCTTCTGGATGTTGTAGTCAGACAGGGTGCGTCCATCTTCCAGCTGCTTGCCAGCAAAGATCAGCCTCTGCTGGTCAGGAGGAATGCCTTCTTTGTCCTGGATCTTGGCCTTCACATTCTCAATGGTGTCACTGGGCTCAACCTCAAGAGTAATGGTCTTGCCAGTCAAGGTCTTGACAAAGATCTGCATGCCACCTCGGAGACGCAGCACAAGATGGAGGGTGGATTCCTTCTGGATGTTGTAGTCAGACAGGGTGCGTCCATCTTCCAGCTGCTTGCCAGCAAAGATCAGCCTCTGCTGGTCAGGGGGAATGCCTTCTTTGTCCTGGATCTTGGCCTTCACGTTCTCAATGGTGTCACTGGGCTCAACCTCCAGGGTGATGGTCTTGCCAGTCAGGGTCTTGACAAAGATCTGCATGCCACCTCGGAGACGCAGCACAAGATGGAGGGTGGATTCCTTCTGGATGTTGTAGTCAGACAGGGTGCGTCCATCTTCCAGCTGCTTGCCAGCAAAGATCAGCCTCTGCTGGTCAGGTGGAATGCCCTCCTTATCCTGGATCTTGGCCTTCACATTCTCAATGGTGTCACTGGGCTCAACCTCCAGGGTGATGGTCTTGCCAGTCAGGGTCTTCACGAAAATCTGCATACCACCCCTCAAGCGCAGCACAAGATGGAGGGTGGATTCCTTCTGGATGTTGTAGTCAGACAGGGTGCGTCCATCTTCCAGCTGCTTGCCAGCAAAGATCAGCCTCTGCTGGTCAGGGGGAATGCCTTCTTTGTCCTGGATTTTTGCCTTCACATTCTCAATGGTGTCACTGGGCTCAACCTCCAGGGTGATGGTCTTGCCAGTCAGGGTCTTCACAAAGATCTGCATGTTCAACTGCAAAACATACACAAGTTTCAGCTATCGAAATACAGTCTACAATTATTTCTAACTAAACGGTTTATTGCTGTTTCACACTGTACAAAAAACAGTTAAAGTTTTTGGGGTGTTTCTGACTGCCTTTTTTTCCCGTTAGTATTGTCTCCAACCGTTCCCCGACTTTTCACTCTTAACGACCTGAACTCCTTTCCAAGGCCGGCACCCTACGCTCCTACACCAGACTCCTTCCATTACCTCTCACCGGCCGGCTCGCAAGACCCCCAGTTGCCCCGCACAGCCGCGGCAAGAGCCGCGGCAAGACCCGCGCCCGCAGCGCCGCGCTGCTCCCCCCGCGGCAGTGACTCAGCAACGCACTTCCGGGACAGACAGATACAGCCTCCGCCATCTTCCCGTACCCCCACCTCCTTCCCCAAGGAGAAATTCTACTCCCCCCCCAATACAGTTCTTACAATGGTTCACGGTAAAGCGAGACTTTGCATCATTCCCCTCCTTGCCCAGCAAAAACCCCTGCCCGACAAGCCGCCACCCCAGTTTATTTCTTACAGCCCACTAAACGCTTTCCGTTTTCCCCGCCGCCCCACTCACGTCTTAGGCCCTGCGCGTCACTCGCCAACAGCGTCACGTCCCTCCGCCGCAGCCGTATTCTAGCTGATGACGCGACCCACCCCTACTTATATGGTGTCGAGCGTACAGTCCCCGCCCACCGACGCTGACGTGTCCATCCGCCTCCCAAAGTAGTCCCAAGTAAAAGAGCACTGTTGTGAAATATACTCACCTTTCTGCTCTCCACTCCCTATTCTGGAGGGAAAAAGCGTCCTGGAATTCTAGTGTAGGGTCTCAGATCCTTAAAAATCCCGATATTTCAGGGCGCGGATGGATCTGAAGTTGTGGGGCAGCCGGGGGGGGGACTGAGGCGCACGCCCGGCATGGATTGGCGCAGCAGTGAGAAGAGCGGGTGTTGATTGGCTGATAGAGAAGGGCGAGGGTATGGAAAGCTCTGGAATATTCGGGTGCTGCCCAGAGCTGATTGGTGCGCGGTGAGGTCAGCGCTGTTGCCAGGGGGGATTCGCCTTGCGGAGGCAGAGTTCACCGGGCGGAGGGCTGCAATGGGTTGCGTGTTCGATCCCTGTGTCAGCCCCGAGCCGCGTTCAGGGAAGAGCCTGGCTCGGGATGCGGGAAGAGGGACTGCCCTCCGCACCCGCTTTTTGCTGATCCGTATTAGTACCAGTACCTCTGACCAACTCCCTTCCCTTCCTGGGGTGGCGTGAAGCATTTACGGCAGAGCCTGGAACAGTCTGTAGGTTTAGTCTTTGCATGTGTAGATGTGAGGAAAAGATGAAAAAAGCAGGACTGAGTTAGTAAAGATGGAAAAAAAGTTCCTTAGACATTCATGAGCGTTGGTAGCTCCCGGTGTGTCACGCTCGGTGCCCCTTGTCACGCGGCTGGTTTCCTGAGCAGCCCTTTGAACCAGTTTCAGGCAGCTGACAGCTTAATTCTTTAATGTGAGGTTTCAAAACAACCCCCGTGATGAAATGCTGACATTTGAAATGCAAACGGCTGTTTACTTCAGGAAGCTTTGATCTGGCTATGGAACAACTTCCTTCTGAGAACTGATGTGGGAATGTGCTCTGTGTTAATTAAGCTTCATTATACCTTTCAGGCTGGCTCCTAACCCGTTTTACATCATATATATCTGAGGTATACAAAATCCAAAAAGGCTTTTATGTGGCAGTGTTTTATCTGCTGCTAGCCTGTCAGTGAAGCCAGATGAACTTGCTTAAATCCTCCACTCACAAAGCGTAAGCACGTGTGTGAACGGCAATATTCAGTACACAGCTACTTTGTTTTCCCCTTAATAAAACCTAAAAGACAACCAAACCCACTAAAAAACCCTTAACAACAACAAACTTCTTCTGTTTTCCTTTCTCCTGACAGGGCTTGTGTCTGCAAATACCTCCTGGTTTGCAGTAAAAAAAGAATAAATCATCCCAACAAAATTATTCGCAATGTATTCACAGGAAGAGGGGAAAAAGGTTAACTGCAAAGTTTAGAGATGGCTCCATGGCAATAACCAACCTTGGGAATACTATCCAGTGACATAAATTTAGGACAGAAGGCAGTATCAGATTTAGGCAATAGCACGTTTGTTTTCTTTATGCTGCCATTTTTGCTCAGTGTTTCCAATACCTTTCTTTGGTTTGCCTGGTGCCAGGGTGACTAAAGGCTTGTTCCACAGCTGGCCTGCATATCCCACGCACTGCTCTGGGAACCACGTTCCAAAGCCAAACAAGATCATGGAGTCCTGAGAGGAAGGCCAGAGTAACTAAAACTTACAAATGTGGAAGGCCACATCTTGTATGTTTAAACTGGAGATTAACAGGCTAAGAAGTCTGGCCTGCGTTTCAGCACAGACTTGCATTAAGGTTTTTAGTGTGCAGGTCCTTGCTTTTTAATGTCCCTCTAAATGGAGAAGGAGAAAAAGAAATTTCTTTTTTTTTTTCCCCTTTATGTGTAAACCAGAAAACACAGGAGCTTTCCCTTGTATTTTCCAAGTATGGCTAAATCCTATGACCAGTCTGCTTTCAGTATGGTTGTTCTGTTTCTGTGTAAGTATTCAAATCAACAGATCAGAATAAACTCCCACCAGATGGGCCTGCCATGGGTAATTGTTTAAATACCTTCTTAATAATGGCTCCTGAAAAATCCATTCTTCAGGGAAATGACGTTATCCTAAGCAAGCGCAGGCAGCAACATGCTGACATCGAACACAGGCTCATACTTTTAGACAATTATGGTTTAAATTCATCAATTTCATGTAAAAAGCCTCATTTTTTTTCCCCAGTTATCCCTCTGTCAAAAGAGATAAACAAAGAGTCAGGCTTTGTGCATGCAGCTCCTGGGCCCAGCAGAATTAAACTAATCTCCATAACCTGTAGGCAGTGTACTCCACACAGGCCACCATTCTGCAGCCTCTACTGATTGGATTCGTTTAATTCTCCTAATTATTAATCTTCAGTAGCCATCTATGTGCCTGTATGGAGCCCACCTCTTTTGTTTCTGGGTAGGGGGTGGCTGAATACAGAAAGCTTCTTAAATGACTCTTTTCCCGTCCCTTGATATTTTCTCTGTAGTAAACTCATGCCCTGAATGTTTCACACCTAGTATCTGCATAGATTCCTTAACACTACTTCAAAGATAATTATTACCAAATTGAAAGCTACTTCTTTTTAAAGTCAGAATGCAGTGTTTCTATATTGTGGGCTAGATTCTGCCTTATTTTCACACATTATATGTACAGAACAATCTCCTAAGCTGGAGGTCATGCCCCGGTGACTTTGTTTTACTGAATTTCAGCTTTACCTCAGAATTTCTTTAGAAAGTATATTATTACTTGAATTTGCTACAGACACAGGAGATCTGTTTATGTTGTGGTTATACAACATAAATACAAAGTCTATAAGGTACACACCACTGTGTAGCTCTTGGTGAATAAGAATCATCAAGCAATTGACTGTGAACTGTATATAAATAAATGCAAAGGTCAATAAAACAGAAATTATCTTGTGACTGGCCTGACTGCACAGGTGGTGCCAGCGGCCTGCAGTTGGGAACATGTATTTCTTTCCAAGTGGTTTCAAAAGTAGGTCATTGGGCACTGGTACAAAGCAACCTACTTTCAGAAGAGAAGTATCTGGAGGTCAAAGAAATGCTTCCAACAAATCTGTAACATTCTAGAACACAAGCTGGGTCTGCGTTTTATGTACACTAATGTCTTAGCAACCACATATCATTTCTAAGTGAGCAATGTCAAATGAAGCAATCTGTTTATCTTTAGTACAAGGCTTTAAGTTGGGACAGCCGGCTGGTCAGGCGATGTGAGTACGTGCAGCCAGGTCAGTTCTGTTCCTTTGTTCAGATAAAAATAGGGCTACTTGCCACAGGGAAAAAAACCCACAATGTATATTCTTACAGTATTACCTACCTCAGACGTCTCTCACTGTGTATGACACCAGATAATTATATTCATCTATTTACAGTTGTGGAGATAAATATTTTCTTCCCAAACCTGTATCTCTGCAATAAAGCCTGATCTTTGCTGAAGTTCCAGCCACAAGACAAACAGGGCTGTGGCATGTTACTGCTTGTCCTTGTCCTGCCAAGCTCAAGGGTTACAAAAACAGTGAGTCACAAGCCAAAGTACTGTAAGATTGAGTGTAATATTATGAGATTACCAAAAAAAGACAACCATCCGAGGTTTGGTTTTTAAGCCTTATGCTAAATATACCTTAAATAAACAAAGTTTTTAATAAGCTACCAACTTCAGAAGATGAAATCTTAAGAAAAACAAACAGATACCCAGATCTGTAGTAAAAAGAGAAGAATCAGCAATACTCCTCTATTACCCTGTTTGTTTAAAGGATATTTTGACTTTGCAGGACACACAGGACACAGCTTTATGATCTGTGCTGCCACAATAAATAGGCTTGGGCACGTCTTTCTGTGTAGATCTAAATGACCCCAAGGAACATGTGGCAATTGTCTACGCTGTTGATGTGAGGAGACTTCTAAAGGGCGTTTTATGAGGATGCCATCACAGGTTTGTGTCTGCATGTCACACCAGTGAAAGCAACAATCAATAATAAGGTCTATTCTAAAAATTACTTGTCTGCATCTTTTTTTTTTTCCAGTCTGCCTCCTGCCTGCGAGTCTTTTGGATCTGATCCAAGCTGCACTGCAGTGAAGGAGCTCTCTTTGTTCATGTTCCCTCTGCTGCATCTGAGCCCACTGAGCATGTGGTTTCTAGGGTGAGGTTTTTCAGCAGGATAGCAAAGAAGCACCTTGAAAAACAAAAAAACAGAAAGACAGAAGAAATAGGTCTTAACCCACTGTTAATCATTATCGGCATGTTTCAACAGAACCTCTGTGACAGTGAACAAAAACCAATACTGCCAAGTCAGTCTGAATAGCCTGCATCCAGTGGCCTAGGGGTGATAACCTGTATTCTGTTTTCAGATCCAGCCTAGATCCCTTGATGGGGAGGGGAATGTGCAGAATTCTTCCTCCTCAAGAGGAAGACTAAAATCCAAGCACTGACATTTTTCTCCCCTGCACAAACTATACAGTTTTAACTACTTCAGTTCTATGAAATGTGGTGTGAGCTATATACTACTTCTAGTTCCCTGCTTACTAGATGAAAAGCATCCACAGTAACCAGTTCTCTTTAACCCACAAACATGTAGCTGCCTTTGCAATGAAAATGCCCTTGCAGACAGAATCTCAATGGGGGCTGCAAGCCAGCTCTGCAGAGCTGAGTCATTGTTACACAAGCAGGGCTAGGCTGGCACGGAAAAACACCTTTGTACTTCAACATTAAACCACGTCAGCTGTTGAACTCTAGTATCACAAGATACCTAAAGAAAACAAACTGATTTACTGGACTTTTCCTCATCTTTCTGAATGCTTCCTTCTCCACAACCATTCTTCATCAAGCTACTGACTTCTACTGAAGTATGGCAAATACTGCATCAGATTTGGCAGTAATGTACCATGAGAGCTGTTGAGTCTTCAGGCACTGGGTAACACCAGCCCCCCAGGTACACCGACAATACCTTACGCAACCACTGAAATGCAGGGCTTGTAAATCCAAATACCAGTGAAATTTGTCATCAGCCAGAGATCCCCTATAAAGCTCTTGAACTGGTTATTTATGTGAGACCCAGTTTTGAGCTCTAAGAGTCCTTTGTGATAAAATATGATACAAATAAAAAAGCAGAAAGAATTTCTTTACTGCAGCCTTCTGAAACAAAGCTGCATTTTGTTCTTCCATTTCTGTCTCCTAGTTCTTTATCCTGAAATGTAACAGTGGGAACAGAATTCAGCTTCTCAGAATGCTTCCTACATTTAAAATATGCTGAACTAATTGCACAGGAGCAGAGAGGGATAGATTTGCAGCTATGACATGGCCTGCACATCACTTTTGCCACTAGAACTGCTTTTTGAGAGCATACAAGTGCCAGTGTCTCCTGTATTGCAGAGAGGAGGTAATTTGTGTGAGCTGATTGCTAATGAACTCCTAAAATATGTTCTTTCAGTTCAGTGCAGTTTAGTGTTTTTAGGAAAGGACTGACCATGTAGGCTCAAACTTGAAACTGCCATACCCTGCACTGACAGCACATGACTCCATGATGCAAACTGCACAAGCTCAGTTTCGGCTCATGGTCTCCAGTTTCACCTCAGTGACTTTTCTTCCCAAAATACAAGGTGACTAACATGAACTTTAGGGTGACTAAAGGTCTGGGAGTGGCCCAGCTCAGGCGCTACAGATAAACATGCTGGCGTGGACCAGGATTTGTCACATACAGCATATTAAAATGGTTCCATAAGGATGAGTAACGAGAACAGAGGTTCACATGAGGAATAACAGGAAATTGTAACTCAGCACCTTTCCTGTCATCAGAGGAGAGAGGTGCTGAGCGACAGGGTTGTTACGTGAGTCCTGGTATGTGCCATCTCAGGAGGCAGCCTACACACTGCAGTCGTGTGTTTTTAAAGCTGTTATCCAGACCTGATGCTGCTTCATTCATTGCTGTCCAGTTGCTTTGCTGTATTCCTGGCTGAGACATGATCCGTCAGTGCCTCTTCCACCCCACAACCAGCTGTCAGCTCACATGTTGACAGCTTTCCCTGTTCCCCTTCCTGAGAAGAGCAAGACATTCAGTTCTGTTGAAATTCCCTGTGCTGGGCACAAAGCCTCATCCTTGGAGTGACGGGGTTCTTTTCCCCCAACAAAATGTGACTTGGACAAGTTTTGTGGTTTTCCCCTGCATTGAATAATTTTACTTGAGAAGCAGTCTTCTAGATGTTCAAGAATAACCTTTTCTAAGATAGTTACCACTAGAGGAGAGCTTTCATGTTTTCCTAAGCTGTTTTTTGGGGGAAAGTGGGGTGGTTTTTATTTGTTTGTTTCTTTGTTTTAATGGTATGTACTATCTAACCTAAACTACCCTATGATTCTACAATCTTGATTGTTCTCCTTTTCTATCATCCTTTGATGACAGAACTTGTGAAAGGTCATCTAGTGGGAATCATGTTAGAACCTGTTTCTCTGCGAAGCTGCAGTAATGATTTCCAATTTTAGGAAGGACTAACCACACTTTTGAAGGCACATCTTGATGCACCACAGTACTGTTCACCAGCAGTCTTATTCCTAGCCAAGGGTGGGCACGTAAAAGGGATGTGCAACAGTGCGTTTCCAGTCACAGAATCAGAGAGCGGTTTGTGCTGGAAGGGACCCTTACAGCTCCTCCAGTTCCAACACCTGCCACGGGCAGGGACACCTTCCACCAGAGCAGCTTGCTCCAAGCCCCTGTGTCCAACCTGGCCTTGAACACTGCCAGGGATGGGGCAGCCTCAGCTTCTCTGGGCACCCTGGGCCAGCACCTCAGCACCCTCACAGGGAAGAGCTTCTGCCTAAGAGCTCAGCTCAGTCTCCCCTCTGGCAGGTTAAAGTCCCTCTCCCCGGTCCCCCTCCCGGTCACGCTGCGCGGCGTTGCGGCGCCCCCTGGCGGGCGCGACGCGCCCCGTCTCTGCGGCGCATGGGGCGGCTCAGGGCGGCCAACGCTCGGCGGTCCCGGCGGGGCAGCGCCGTCGCCAGCCCCTCCGCGGGCTCTGCCCGCAGCGGCCGCGGGAAGGCGGCGGTCAGTGCCCCGGCCGGTCCGGGGCCGCAGGAACAGCCCCCCGCGCCCGGAGACTTCGATCTCGGGGAGCAGCGCGGGCGCTGGGCCGCGTTCCAGGAGCGGCACCGGCTGAGCTGCGAGGAGGCGGCGCGGCTGCTGCTGGATGCCTTGTGAGTACGAGCCGGACGGCGGTCACTGCCCCGCCATATCACTGCCCTCCCGACAGCACAGCACTAAACACGACATCTGGAGAGCTGCAGTGGGGGAGAAGGGGTTGTGGTGTGAGGAGCGGGGGGGCGAAGGCACCGCGGAGAAAGCGGCGTTTTCTTCTAAAGCTCCCTGTGCTTTTGGGCTCTCCCACCAAAAATGCCCTCGGGGGCACCGCGCGGGATGCTGAGGCTCAGCTGCTACATCCCCACCTCAGAGCACAACCCAGCGCCTCTGCGCTGTAATCAGTAATGGGCCGGGGGAGTGAAAATCCGAAAGGAAAAGGTTTCTCACTCTCCTTTTGCGCTGGAGCTGGGCTGGCGGCGCTGCCCAGGGACGAGGGAGGTGGCTGGGGGAAGGGGGAAAGCACAAGCTTGACCGTGATGTTCCTCTGCAATTACAGTACCCAACAAAATGCATTTCAGATACTGCGCAGACTCTCTGTTTTCCCCAGATTTTAAATGGAGGAATTTTAGTAGTGCTGGAGCACTTGTGGGATAATTGTAGGAAGATTCAGTTCCTTGTGGTAGTTTTGCACGGACTCTGGGTCAGCATTTTGCCCTGGTCTCTGGCAGGACAGCACACGTGTTGTATTGCATGTGGACTGTGTTTTCCTTGAACTACTGCTCTTCCTTCCCTTTGCACTATTTTAAGTAAACCAGAAGAGCCATTGCCACAGAGGACCAAAGTCGTCGTCTACGTCATCCTGGGACATTTTATTAAAACACATCAGAATGGACATTTTCTGGTGTTCTGCAGTTGCTGAAAGCTGAACTGGATCATGTAGCATAAACCTTACTGTTTTCTTGGACAAAACCCCCAAAAATTAGATTGAGAAAACATCTCTGTTGTTTCCCTCTCCAGTGAATACCGGGGTTTGGTCAAGCACACTGGAGGCTGTCACTGTGGAGCAGTCCGCTTTGAGGTCTGGGCTTCAGCAGATCTGCATGTTTTTAACTGCAAGTGAGTGTTTTATGTGCTCCCTAGTCTCATGGATGAATATAAGCTCATGTGCTTTTCCAGCCAACACCTTACAGCTAGAAGATGACACAACTGCTTTGAGCTGTTCCTATAGGGTATACCCCTTGATTATGTCCTGATCCAATATGGGATCAGGTGCTACTTCTTTGGGCAGTTCTGGTCTCACAGCCCTGCTCACTGCTCAGGAGAGATCTACAAATATAGGGACTCAACTGCCTGCTTTATGTTTCCTCTCAGTGCAAGTCTGCTCAGAGGACATCAATCCTGTTTTAACATTAACATGACATCTCTGACCACATGTGCCTCAAACTACAACATGGTCTGATTTCAGTAGTAATCCCCCTTTGCCTGCAGGTAGTTTGCTTCTAAGGCACAGGTAGACTTCTGACCCTTTCTTTCTTGTCTGCAAGATAATTCATGGTGGCAAAACTGGCCAAGTCTGCTCTGAAAGATTAAAGGGGTTTCTCAGGCCTAGAAACAAGGCCTAGAGCCTTGTAATGGCTGTTGAAATTGTGTATGTGAATCAAAAATGGCATCTGATGTTTGGTGTAAGGGAACACTTTGTTGGTGTACCTATGTAGAGTCAGTCTAAGTGGGCGCGCTTAGCCAAACGCTACTGATACCACAAGTCCACTGTTGCTGCTTACCTCTGTGATGTGTCCAGGAGCCAGTTTAGCTGTTGGTGGAATTTCTGTTGTCCAGAGGTCTGTGATAGATCTGACTGCAGTCCACAACTTGTCCACTGCTTCTAGAAAGGTCTCTTTTTTCCTTTACAGTTGCAGCATTTGCACAAAGAAACAGAACAGACACTTCATTGTCCCAGCGTCGCGCTTCAAGCTGCTGAAGGTAGAGTAAGAATGCAGTAAGAGCATGTCTGTGAATATGAGCAGGATAAGCCAGTCTCATCAAAGATGCAAGTGGCAGCCAGTTTTCTATCCTAAGTTTGTCTATGCCTGACTGGGGGAAACAGCTGAATTTTATGCTGCCTGGTATGGGTGTGTGCATCTTACTTAGTGAGCTGATTTCACAGTTCTCAGATTTGACTGTTATGGACATGTGTATATACACGGGTTCAGAAAAGGAGCATGAATACAGAACTCATCTCAAGTAAAGACACAAAGTTGATATTTTAGATTTTATATTTCTTAGCTACAGACCTGTAGAAAGGAATTAGTACCTCTGCTTGTCTGGAACACTTACACTGCTTTTCATTTGCTCAGGGTGCCGATAATTTGACAACATACACCTTCAACACCCATAGTGCCCAGCACACATTCTGCAAGACCTGTGGTGTACAGAGCTTTTATACTCCTCGTTCTAATCCAGATGGTTATGGTAGGTAGAAAGAGAAAGCTGTGGTAACCAAAAGTAACCATCAAGCAAACCTTGGGTAAAGACTCCATTGGATGCTAACATGACAGCAGTGAGCAGCATGTGTTTTAAGAGTACTAAGTACTAAGCATATGGAACTGCAGTCTGAACCTGTAGCTCCTCTATAAGTCTTACCTATTGCTGTGTGGGCTTCTTCCCATCTAGGCTCCTCAGATATACAGCAATAGCTGGACTGAGCATTTAGCATTCCCTGAGAAGCCCCATCCAGAGCAGTGCAGGCATCTCCCACACAGGATGTGGATGCAGGTTTCTATGTACTCTTTCTTCAGGAATAGCTCCCCATTGTCTGGATGAGGGCACCGTGCAGACCATTGTCACAGAGGATATCAATGGCAAGGAATGGGAGAAGGCTGTGAAGGAACACAAGACCATCAGAGACATGTCAAAACCCTGACACGCTTTTCCAGCAGCTGATGTTGGGGCACTGCTGTGGAACTGTAGCCTGGGCTTTCCTGGGTGAGGCAAAATCAGTTTCTGCATTACTGTTATCTGTTCTCTGTTTCTTAAATAAATCTTTCTATGCTGCCTGTCCCATTCAGTTGTGGCTTTCAATTTTCAAACTACTTCCTTTCCATAAACCCCAGGGCTGCTGTTTTGGTACTTTGTCCTTAGCTGTGCTGAAGTTTAAATCATAATAAACAGAGTAGAAAAAGACAATAAAAAAAAATCTAATCTTTGCTTGTATGGATCTTTCCTCTGTTTCAAGTCTGCCTGATGAAAACATCCTGTGTAAGATAACCTCTTGCTTAGGACATAATGCTAACATACATTGACTTTTCTCCCTTGACTTTAATGAATTGACCATGTATCTAAAAGGGATTTGAAAGAGCTTAGCAGGCTCAGGTTCACTAAAGCATTACACAGGTAACCTAGCTGTATGCAAGAGAGAGGCCACGGAAGTTATTCATGTGATTAAGCACTGTTTTGCCTAAGCCTGGCCTTATTTGTGGTCTTAAGGCTGACTCGGCATATGCTTAGGCACTGACTCATGGCCAGGGAACAGTTCAATACTGTCATACAATGGGCATGTACTTCAGTACAACCAAGAACCAGTTTGTTATCTCAGGAGGAGGATGTGCTCACAGCAGCAGGTCAGGATCTCGCCATTTGGGCTGGATCTTGACTATGCAATGACAAGGTGCATAGATCCAGGAAAGATGCTTCCTGCAGACGTGAGCCCACATGAAGGAGTGCAAAGGCCTACAGAAATGTTGAGTAGTGCTGACTTTGCTCCACAATGACCCCATGTAAACCCAAATCACTAGTGGGCTAAGAAACAAAACCACCGAACGCTGCTTCACTTACCTTTAACATAAAGGGAGAGGATCTCTTAACTCCTGCGCTTCTCTGTTACAGCTTTTGAAACATCTCTTGCAATTTTTATCTCTGTTCTATAAAAGACCTAGTTACAGTAACTCTTGCACATCATTCTTAGGTCCATTGAGACTCTTGTGAGTTGACTGTGAGCCCCATATTCTGAAGCAATAAATGCTCATGTTGCATGAGGGACACTGCAGAGGTGGAGCCTGCAACACAATGTGTACAAAAGAAGCAGCATTAGCAGCAAAGATCAGTGCAGCTGGAGATATTTGTGTGATTTCTGATGTTTTATTCATAAGATTTGGCTTTTTAAAGTTGAGTCTGAGTAAGACAGGTCTGGTGGTTCTAGTTTAATCTCTGGAGATAGCATGGCCTTTGAAAAGTTACTCCTGATACCTGGATTTTTACAAAAGCACGAAGTAACAGTTGCCAAGCAGTCCTCACAGCTGTATCGTCCTGGGGAATAACAGTTTGTGCCATATCTTCTCTAATGCAGGATACTCCTGTATTAGGTTAATCTGAATTTCTTACTCTATTTAAGCTTCGACAGTGAGTAGCTGTTAAACCCTGTTCATCTCAATGTATCAGGTAACAAGATATTCAGAAGGAAGTTTACACAGTCTGGTTTTTGTAGTCTGAATGAATGTTACACAAAGAGAATCCCATCCTCTTCAGCACATCACAGGTGAGCTTGATTTAATCCTAGGTCTGGTCTGGTCTTTTTTTCACTCATTCTTTTACTCCTGAAGTTGTCCTGGTCACAGAAAGCGCAGTGAATTGATCACCATATAACGTGAGAAGAGCATATAGATGTGGCGAAACCAGAGGAGCTGGCTGCGATGACACCTCATTGCTCTCTAGAAGGAAGAATAGTTGGGAAAGCATTACAAGAACCTTCCAGACCTAACATGAAGGCAGTTTCCCAGGCCTCCTGTGAGGTTCACTGCCAGCTTATAGGACAGCCTGTGTTCAGTGAGTAGTAGGGAAGAAGTAGTGGGAAGTAGAAAGCTGTCTACTTTATGGGGTTAAAGAGTGGGGAGAGCCCTCTCCACCCCTATGTTGCTGGTGTGGTGCTGCCTTGTGTTCAGAGGGGTCCTGCTATCAGCTGCAGGTCGGTGCTGTGACAGTTCCTTTGTCACATGTAGTTCCTCCTCCCTATGTGATCTCACGCCTGGGTGTTCACAACCTGGGGAGGCAGAAACTGATAGGTGTGCATCTGAGAACACTTTGCATGCTGCTTCCGATCATACACTGCCAGCTGAAACTTCATCTATTTATAGTACACAGCTTAGAAAGGTCACATGTCAGAAACAAAACCCACAAGGGAACAACACTGCCTTTATCAGAGCAGTTTCCATATGTAACTCTATCATTTGGCAGCCTCAAAAGCAGGAAAGTTCTGTCATTTGTGGATTAACAGGACTGTCTGCTGGGCAAATACTTTAATGCTATGGAAGGGGAGCTAATCAGATTCCGATATGTGGGACTGTGCACTAAATGTGTGAGATAGCTGTGTGAAACAGGTACCATGTCTCACCTTGGCTTGTTCAGTCTCCTCCTCTGTGAGTATGAAGAGTACATCATGGGGCAGGAGGTAGGAAACGGGTACATCCAGCATGGAGATGTACTTCCGGAAGATACTGACTGATTCCAGCACGAGCACACGGCACCCTAGACACAAAAAGAGAATAAATACTTCAAAACAACAGTATTGTTGTAAGATGCCCACCTCTGCAGGCTCAACAGGTCTCTGCAGCCTGCCCTATACTGCTGGCCATGGGGATCCTTTCTGTGCAAAAGGGAACATCTATGACCATTTGTACTGGATCTTGCTGTGTATAGAAACTTGCTGACTACAGAAAACAACACTAGCTTTGAATACCAGAGGGTTTTGGTTGGTTTGGTTTTTTTTTTTTTTGGTTGGTTTTGTTTTGCTTATAATTTCAATTATTCCTATGTAGTTAAAGGAAAAGCAGAGTTGACTCTGAGTACTGGCACTTATCTCATGGACATTTCAGACAGCAGTTTGTGGTTCAGCTACACAAAAAAATAAATAAAAATTCCTCTTTTTACTCCAATACTTAGCTACAGCAAAAATATCCACAAGATTCAGGAATGGCTGTATCAAATATTAACTTAGGCTGTTACACTTTAGCAGAGCTCCAGAACTCACTGTTCAATGTCTGTGATTAAGCAGATGAAGGTAACATGTATAAAGATTCTAGTGAGTGGAATTTTTTTGTTGTTTTAAAGAGCCCTTTGAACTCACAAGCTCGCATCTAACACTGCTAAAGCACAAAGCAAACTGGTGGTGCTCAGACACCTCTTGGCCCTAATATGTACGCAGGACTTGTGTCCTGCTAAGGGAAAAGAGTCTCCAGGACAGGGGCAGAAGCAAACATCACTGGCACTTCCATCCGGCCAAACTCTGGCACGAGCGTGCGCTGTGCCAGGAAGCAGAGGAAAAGCCCTCCTGCATCTGCTGGAGACTTGCTGCAAGCCCGGCCTGCCAGGAGCTGCCGGGAGATGGCGGTGTCCGCCAGTAGCGGGGCAGCCGGGACCCACAGCCGCTTCACTTGCCTAGGCTGGGATCAGGCCGAGATCCCTTTTGGCACCCCTCTACGTTGAAGACCCTCCTGTCTTACACGTCAGTATCGTGTCCTACTGCAGGTCAGCCATCCAACCCTTGCAAGGTCATGGTGCCCGTCCACGCAGAGCAGCAGCTGTGTGGTGCCATGTGGAAGGAGCGATGGCTCTCGGGGGACGTGCAGGAATGCTGGCAGCTGTGTGACTAGCATGGCCTGTGCCACTTCCTGACTGTGAGCCTGAGCTCCCATCTTGCTCATGGTCCTCCTTGACAAGTGACAGACGAGCAGTTGCTGTCTGGCTGCCCTAAGGTTTCGTCTTGCTATTGCAGAGGATGCTCTGCAGAGACAAGCATTGCAGTTGAACACAAAGTGTCCAGACAGCTCTATTAATCCCACTAAAGACGTTTCTTATTCCCAAGTAGAAAACTCAGAAGCAAGCTTGTGATGTGCTAGGAGCAGAGGAACCACTCTTCCCTCCTCTGCAGAGA